CCCAATGTTCTGCGTGGGTTTAAAACAATGTTAGTCTAACAAAAAAGTTTATTCATTGCTTTATGAAACAACACCTAACACATAGCAAGCTGCAAGTGCAAAATACAGTCAAGAGTGTAGTTTACAACTCTCGAGCTGTCTGACTTTATCTCACGGCAAAAAGGTAAAAGCAAGCATTTTATGGTTATAGAGATAGTTTCGCCGACATGGCTGGCTCAGTTAGTAATCAACAGAGATTTTCCCACCAAAATGGCTCTCTTCCAGTCCAAATCTTTGGCGAATATCTTATTAGTCTCAAACTTAAACTAGCCCAGTAATTATCCTATGATAAAGCGTCAGAGAATAAAACTGTCTTTAAACTGAAAAACCAGCGCCATTACAAAAAAACTAACGTAGAAAAGAAAAAAAAGGTTACAATGTTTAGCTATGTTTCAGTAAACGAAACAAATGATTCTGGCGCAGAGTCATGACAAAAGCCAAGAGATGTATGTTTGCCTTAAATTTTCTACCGATACCTTTTGAGACAGTAAGTTTGTAAAAAAAATTATGTGAATGTCAAAATTTATATGAGCAATGAAAGTTGTTGACTTTAAATGCCAGCTGTACAATGGGTAAACGCCCCCTTCCCCAGAGCGCATGCGCCTTATTTTCGCTTGGTTCTTTTATTTCGTAACGTCCCTACTATCTGAGAGGCTGGCATAAGCAAAGGAAAACACAACTCTACAAAACAAACATTAGATGAAGGTAAGCTAGAGCAAATGTAGGCCTATTATTTCTTGTCTTCGATTTTTTCCTACGACATTGGGGGCATCAAAGAACATTTCAAAAAGTAACAATCCCATTTCCCCGTTTTGAACTTGCTCATACACATTTTTACGCCCCCAAACTGTGTCCTTCGATGAGCTGACGCAGGTGTCGACAGATGTAGGCGTCAAAATCTGATTTAAATCACACTGATAGAACAACCAACGCATTGCTGACTCACAATGGGAAGCTTTTCTTCTTTTGATTCATTATAGTGTACGACGTCGTTTCGTATGGCACAGTCAAGAAAGCCTGTTTCCTTCACAATGATTTGAAAAATCCATTAATTAAAAAAGCTACCTTGACAGACAGTCTTTCTTGTCAAATATATCCTTATCTCTTGCTTGCTCGGGTTTAAAACCTTTCCACAAATTTTTGCACCAAACTTAGAGATTCAGTTGAAATTGCAATCACAAGAATTTCTATTGAACCACTATATCTCTCTTACATCGAGTTCAAGGACTAGCTAAAAACATTATTGCCTTTTTAAAAAAGAAATCTTGCCATCTTCGAAACAAAGAAGATTCGTCGAAAAACAAATTACGCTTTCCAATATTTGTGTTTCAGAAATAAAGTCTAGTCACTCAAACACGAACGCATATACGTAAAGACAGCTTGTCTAACTTGTCTGATCAATTGTAAACTCTACTGTTTTCTTTGCTGCATCAAAATCGTGCAACATAACCTACTTCCTTCTAGTGCGCTTTATGAGTGTGTTATTTTCATCATTCTATAAATTTTAACATCATAATTGTATATTGTCTATATTTGAAAAATGCTACTTTACTTTCTCAACGTAAATAACGCCCGTGTTGGACCAGTATTAAAGAAAAAGAAATTTGAATAGTTGTAAGCACAATAAAATCTGACCTGTCACCTGACCTATTTGAAATCTTGCTTTTTTGCCAAAAATGTTTTTGTCACGTTGGGGAAAATCAACCCTGCGAAATTGTTTAATTTTTACGTTTTGAAAATCTTTTTAAAATATCATAACATTGAAATTACACTTCAATGATATCCCAACCGCTTCTGTTGAACGAATTTTCTATCGTGAAATTCAAGCTTCTTATCCTTATTTCCTACAACTGACACTGTTGTCTGCATTATTTAGTTTACCGCCCATTTGTTTAATGGTGCAACCTGAAGACAAGGGAAAGCTCATCTCATATTCACAGTTTTTACTTTTGGAGGTCCCCAAGAATTATTTTCCTTTTGGGCTCGTTCTCTTTGTACTATATATCTTACGACATTGCTGGACTGTCTGATCATTACATCAATTTTTACGCCAATTATCTGGTGAATCATCGTCTTCCAATGACGTGCAATCAGAAGATGTAGTATTGACTTAGATGTACCCAGCGCGTGAAGGATGTGGGATGGTCGAATCTTCACCTGCAGATCATGTTATTTCCGTGATGCCTTGCGCATCTCTCATTTTAAGTGATTGGTTCGTCTAAATTAAAATCACTCGAACATGCTGTGGAGTAGGGTTTTTTTATTTTGAGTGACAAACTGAAATTATTATTTTCACTATGGCGTTTTAAAAAGTTATCATACAGTTGTAAATATGATCCTATGCAATATTTACTAACTTCTAAAGCTAACGAGAATAATTAGTGATTATTTCTTCCCCGCGCAGAACCCGACCATTGTTCGCTGCGAAACTACACACTACTTTCCTGCTGTCAGGAGCACTGGTGGTACAGTGTATATTTCTAGTTCTTTCTCGTTTCCATCACATAAAGTAGCTGTCTGCAAGTCTGTCTTTTTTCTTCTACTTTGGAACACTGGCGGTAATACTTTTCTTTTGGATCGGGAAATTGCTTGGAATATATCCTCTAAGAAACCTAAAAATGTGGCTTTTCAACAGGCTTTTTCAGGTAGTCTTCTAATTGGGTAAATATCAATCGGTGATTTTTTCTTCATAATTTTAAATTTCAGCGGTTATGTATTTGTAATTGTTGTAGTAGGTTTTATAAAAAATGTTTTTTTCTGCCATTTTGCTTTACTTTTCTAAAGCGCATGGAACACAACGAAACTAATAATTTATTTTGATAATTTATCTTCCGTATTGCAAATACTTTTTAAACTTTTTAAGATCAATGCTTCTAAGGTTACTTACAATTACCACTTTTAAGACAATCTAAAATCGCAAGGATCATCAAACCGCTTGATGCACGAAAAAAATTCTAGAGGTACTGTAATACAGAGTACGTTTTTGACAGTTTTGTTGTTCTGGTTTTTATTTTAGATCACGATTATAGTAAAAAGACACTAAAAATCTATTTAAAATTCTTTTAATCAGAAGCTTTCGACTTTTCTCGAAAGCTTCTTGACAGCTTCGAAGACGTTTAAAAAAGAGACTTAATACTTTGAGCTTTTGAAACATCCTTTTCGTGGTTTATTTATCATTTTATTATATTGTTAAATAATTTTTTCGTTTTCATTGTACTAATTTTGTTTATAATACCCTGACGATGGTGCCAGCGTGTTTTATACGTGATGATATATTCCCCTGTCCCTCCAAGGGTAAATGACTGGCAACAGCTTTAATGATTTCTTTGCGTCTAAGAGAAGAAGTAGATATTCTTTTACTGAATAAAGTACAGCATATTTAGCTGCTTGAAATAAGCAGACCGTAAGCTCTTTATTCGCTTAAGTTAATATCCGGAGGGTTCTAAGCCGTAAGTCATCAATGGGTATAATAGAAAAGCAACTTGCAAATCAATTCTAGATCTAGTTGTTGTCAGTGTCCAAGAAATTCATCTAGCCAAGAAATTATTAAAACCTTGCACTGGATTCGCTTGCTGATGAAATAAATCATTTTGGTTGGACTTGTAACACTAATCATGTTGCCCTCTGGAAGCGAAGTTACCAGAGGCGTGGGTAAAATTTCTTTCATTGTTATCCGGAGTAAATTGTCAGTCAAAGAAAAGCTGATAACCCCGAACAGTTAGTGGTTACAAAATAATTCTATTCTTGAACAAAAGACTGTGAGAGGCCATTTGCAACCTGCCTCGTCCATGATACAAAACACCTTGCTGGAGTGCTACGCAATGGGACCTTGAGAAAGAAAAAAGGATTTTAAATAGAACAAGCTTATTGATCTTTTGTCCCATTGCATTTTCTTACTTGGATCATGGCTAATTCACGCCGTCAGTTAAACCACTGTAAAACCTCCCCCGTTTTAGCATAAAATAGTGCTGTGGAAGTTTAATTTTTCATTAGGCTTTTGGCATCTGTTTGTACAGTCCGGCCTAGAAGGAAGAACGTACATGTAGGCCTGACTGAAACGTTTGCTGTAAGTTTACATCAGGGACAGCCAAGATTTTGTCAACCTAAGCTTATATATAATTTCATCAGTTCTTTGTTGTCCTTTGGCCACTCGGCCGTTTAAGGAACTACATCACGGTTTTTATAGTGTTACTTAAAAACCTCAAACACATCAGAATTGGAATCCCAGAAAACACTGAAATAGTGTTCAGTCTTATAAAGTATATGTAATTATATGAAAGAAGATCATCGCACTTATAGACGCAACTTTTGCAGTTGCGAGAAGAAAGCCTGAAAAAATTCAGGCTTGTGGAAGATTTGAACTCTTGATCGCTGCGATACCGATGCACGATATCGCAGAGGTCAAGGGTTCGAATCCCTCCCGTACAAGCCTGAATTTTTTCAGGCTTCCTTTTCGCAACTGCAAAAGTTACGTCTATAAACCATACACCCCAAACTAGCGGCTTCAAAACGGCCACTGTAGAGTAGATACCTCCGCCACAAATAGCTGATATAGGATTTAAAAGTCTGAGGGACTGTGTCACGAAATTCAAACAGTGAGAACTGCCACCAGAAACATAGAAATAACCGTTCAAAGCATTAAAACAAGGAACACGGCACAGCAAATACAAAAGGAGTTACGGATGGACAAACTTGAAGAGATTAAAACTGATTGCAATTGGGATTTTTGAAAACTTGTTTAGGCTATCTAAATTTCAAGGTCCATTTTTGTAGTTTGTAAGATGGTAGCCATTTGTAACTTACTTTCAATATCTTCTTTTTCCTAGCTAAAAACGACAAGTAATTGGCAAGATTATCAATATAATCTAGTCACCCTTGACACAGCTCCTTAAACGAACGTAGTAAAAAAAAAAAGGTGTAAAAAGTATTTATAGTTTATGGTGTTTGTTTTCGTTCAGGTTATGTCAATAGCTTCAAATCTGTCCGTCATGTCTGATGTAGCTGAGGTTGCCATAACAACGTCAACAGCCATATTCATCATTATAAGCATCATTGGAAACTTCCTTGTTTGTGTTGTTTTAATCAAGAATCGAGATATGAGGTAACTCAAGTAATGCTACTTCCTGCTCAAAATAGTCTACCAACATAGGTACATAATAATAATAAAAATGATTTGTTGCTTGATAAATGTTATTATCAAGTGTTGTGTTGTTTTAATCAAGAATTGTGTTGTTTTAATCAAGAATCGAGATATGAGGTAACTCATGTAAAGCTACTTCCCGCTTAAAATAGTCTACCAGCATTGGCACATGAACATAATACCGAGTTTTAGAGCGTAACTGATGGTTATAAGCCGCTCCATGTTTTCCTCACTGAAATAGCGGATAGATCAACTTTGAAATAGTGAAATAATTTATTAATTTTTATTATTTAATAAATGTCAGTGGTATTTCAGCTAAATTTGAAATACCTACATGTGAAAATTACAAAACTAAAAAATGATAACAAATTTCACTCGCCTAACGGCTCGTGAAATTAACGTATCACCACTAATCATGCTATTACCTATACTAATAAATGTCCACTAAAAACATAACAGCTAACGTCAGCTTGGAGTTAAGTTGATGAAATTTTATTTTGCCATAGGACTCCAATAAATTATCTTCTCATAAACTTAGCAGTGGGGGACATTATTTTCGCAGTGTTTTACATAGCGAACATCATACCAAGAAACAGTTTTACCCTTCCGGAAGGGTTGTCAGGCGGAATATTATGCGTGCTGTTGGCAGATGCGTCCTTGACTTGGCTTGGAGGAAATGCTTCGGTTTTCACTCTTGTTGCCATTGCCATTGAACGTTATTATGCTGTGATATTTCCCCATGGGAACAAGGGAAAACTAACCATGCGCAAACTGAAGGTATATGTCCGCTTTACAAAATAAATTATAAATAAGTAAATGAATAAATGTATATACAAAAGGATAGTCAATAATTCATGGGTTTCACACTTGCATATAGTGATTCCTCGTTTACTATTCGTGGGCGAAAAGGAATTGGAAAATGTCCGAAGAAAACCTCTTTGAGGTAGAGCACGAACCGACAACAATCCAGTGACACAAGTCTGGCACCATTAGTTATCGAACTTTAACTTCAGTTTATAAAAACCAGATCAGTATCGAGTCCATGTATATAGGACTGCTAGTAAAGTTGTCGTTGTTGATATTGTTCTTGTGACGAGTCCTCATCGTTAAAAATAATTAGTGCAAGTTCCCCTAGCACTGTCCATGTTTGTGATTACAATTAAATTTCGAGTATTTTGAAAATCTGCCATTAATTTTGTTTTCCCCGTTTTCTTGGAAGGGGTTTAGTGATTTCAGACATTCGCTTACTAATAGCACTTTCTGGCTGTCTCATAAGGTTTGGTCTTCAGTATGACAGTTCTCTGTAAAAGGATTCGTTCTATTACCACTTACTAATTCTTGGTATTTATTAAGGTGGCCATTAAATAACCATTGTACAGCATTTAATACAATTTTTTTTTAACTTTTACACAATCTGTTTAAAGATGGTCATCGCTGGCTCATGGATCCTGGCACTGATTCTTCAACTTCGGGAGTACGGGAAAAAAGTGGTTGACAACTCGTGCGTTTATGTGTGGTCTGAAGAGTTTGTGAACTCCTTTAGTTTGATGTGGCATAGCTTTGTGTTTGTTTCATGTATCATTCTGGCTGGCTTGTACTCGAGAGTCGTCCATACGTTGTGGTTTAGACAAGATTATCATAATGACATACCACACAATCAACAGGTATGGATAAAAAGGAATGATTGAAAATTTAGTAGCGTGCCAGCGCAACATGATAATTTAGATACATGATATAGTGATATCCGTATTGACCCTCAGCTTCCAATAACCCACTCCACCCCCATTTTAATAAGCCGTAAGTTAATGGCGCCAAAAATTAAATAGGTTCTTAACTTTTGTGGAGTCCCAACAACAGTGACAAAGAAGACGAGAAATTTCAATTTTAATTTGAGTGAAATTTGGCTACAATTCCGAATCATTTTTAGTCGGCCCCTGGTTGGGCTCTAAATAACTATATCTCAAAAAAGAACGATTTTCCACTCTAATTTTCCTTTAAACTCAACGTTGTTGTTGTCTCTCGAGTACAGGTTGTGTTGAAGCTACGGAAGCGAGTCACCTTGACAGTTGTCATCATAAGTGCTATCTTTGGTGTTTCCTGGGGCACACATTCCATACTTCATGTTTTGAATGACATTGGCTCCTACAAGCTCAGCCCAGTTGCAATTCCCATTTCTCACGTAATGATTATGTTCAATTCCGCCGTCAATCCTTTTGCTTACGCTCTGATAAACCAGCGTTTCAGGAATAAGATGAAAGAAATGTTCTGCTGCAGTTCAGTGAGGGTTCTTCCTCACAACGAACTAGAGGATAAAGAACTGGCCAATGGTACGTCACTTAAACCGAACAACACAGCACACTCGAGCCTTCGGAAATCATGAGCTGCAGCGCAAATTCGCACACATTATGCGCGTGAACGACCTATTCGCATAAACACAAGCCGTGACAAGCAGTTTTGCCTGGAGTTTCCCTCTCGGAATGCTGTGATAGTTTCTAACTTTGCTCCTCGACGTAACAATATTTTAACGTCTTCACGGACAATTCAATCTGTCACTGTTTCTTCTTATTATTAATCTTGAAACGAAAATCACGTTAACAAGTAATTATGAATAAAGTCAGGAGCAAGGATAAGCACGATTAAGGTGGCTGAACACAGTTTTTGCAGGCGGTCAGTGGTAGCAGGTGTTTTAAGTTAGACAAACAAACATGGCGGCGAAAAAAACAATGGTAAACAGAAGACGATTTCTCAAAATCTACTCTACAAAATCTTGTGATATTTGGCAAAATTTTTACTTTTATCGTATTTTAAATGATGAGAACTTTAAAATGGAAGTTGAACAGACGAATTTTGTGACACATTTAATAATTACAGTACAATTATATTATGGATTATCTAAAAACCCTCTGTTAAAATTTGGTCAAATAAGTTTCAAATGGTAATGATTAATTATAGTAGGCTGTGTACGAGTTTATAGGAAAATCTAATGAGCGAATTTTATGTAAACTGAGTAAAAGTTACATTTTAAGGTTGTATCCAACCGTTCATGTTGCCATGGAAACTACGAAAACGTCAAATTTTATTTGGCAGTCAAAATCTTTCATCAGTATATTTTTCACTTGCCAAGTTTCAGCTTGTGAGCTGCAACCTTTTTCTTGCCATAATTTGGCAAATGCCCTATACTCAGAAACTGCCAAAACTGTGTTCAGCCACCTTAATCGCCCAAGTTCGATATATTAAAGTTCTAACATGACTCCGAGGCTATCTGTTCATTTTTCTATATTTGGTTTGGTTTTCTTTGTGTTCAAGTCTCTTCTGGGAATTTCGAGACAATGGTGTTGTGTAAAATTTGCAATTTTGATCCTAAATCTTCGATGTTTACTACTCAATGCTAGAAGTTTAAGAAATAAGGTTCTTTAATTGCAAGCCCTGCTGCTTGAAGATTACTTTCCGGTGATTGCTATCACGGAAACATGGCTTGACTCTAGCTTCATGGATTTCGATTCAGTCTGAATGACTACTGTGTTCATCGCAAAGACAGACAAGATTGTAGAGGTGGAGGTGTCTTATTGGCAGTACATACGGATTTAATCTCCATAAGAAGAAGGGATCTGGAGTATAATGATAATGTTGAAACCGTCATGGTGGAAATTTGTCAGAAATTGAAGGACAATGTTCTATTTGGAGTGTGCTACAGACCACCCAGTGCTGATGTGGAGTATTCCTTCAAATTACGACAATGTATGGAGAGAATTGAGATGACCAGTTTTGCTACCTGTTATCTTGCGGGCGACTTTAATTTTCCAAGCATAAACTGGGATAGTATATCTGCTACTTCAAGTGATTTAATGTACTGTTGATTTTTGTGACATGCTTAATGATCATTTTCTGGTTCAATGTAATTTCAATCCAACAAGAATGCTTAATGAAACTGATGACAATATACTTGATTTAGTCCTGACCAAAACTCCTGACCTGGTTAGCGATGTTGAAGTACTGACTGATCATTTTAATTCTGATCATTTTCCGGTTAGTTTCAATATTAAGCTTTTATCTGGTCGCCCTCGTAAGTCCGTCTCAGGGAAAAATGACAACTTTAAAAAGGCAGACTTCACTGCACTGAATGAATTATTGAAGTATATTCCATGGAACTTTGCTTTCTTGGAAGAGGAAGTGGACACCTGTACTGAAAGAGTCAATGACTTATTACTAGCTTGCTGCTGATATGTGCATTCCAACCTTTACTGTGAAAAAAGAAAACTAATCCTCCATGGATTACTAAGGAAATTCTCAATAAGATCAAAAAGAAAAAAAGGTTATAGAGGAAACTAAAGGCTCATCCATCAGAAATCCTTAGCCTAAAGTTTAAAGAGTTACGAAAATCCGTCAAGCAGTTAGTAAGATCTGAGTATAAAAGATATCCAGAGCATCTGTCGAGTCAATTGAAGGTAAACCCAAAGCGATTTTGGAGCTACCACTCAATTAAGTCGAAATCAAAACGGCTTCCTGATGTAAACACCTACAACAGAAGATCTGAGATAAAACCTCATGAGCAAGCTACCTTATTTAATATTCACTTTCATTCAGTTTTTTTGTAAATTAGTAAGGATGGTTCAATTGCTTTGTATGCTGATGACAGTAAAATGTATAGGGTTATTAAGACTCAAGAAGATCTGTCTACTTTTCAAAGTGACATAGATAAAATTTCAGACCAAGAAATGTAAGATCATGCGAATTACCAGGAAAAAGTCACCCTTAGTTGGGGAGTATAATATTGAAGGTCAACCTTTGGAAAGTGTTAATGTGTATAAAGATTTAGGATTGTTTACGGCTAGTAATCTTTCATGGAACCAACACGTAGATAAAATAACTGCTGAGGCTAATAGGGTTTTAGGGTTGGTTAAGAGGACTTGTAGGGACTTAAAGGATATTGATACCACGAACACACTTTATTGTAGTCTTGTGAGACCTTTATTAGAATATTCATGCGAAACTTGGAACCCTCATACTAAACGTGACATTGATAAATTGGAGGCTACCAGATGGATCACTAGGTCTGATGATGATTATGATACTAGACTATCTAAGCTAAAGTTGTTGTCATTATCTAATAGGAGGTTCACTAGCGATGTTACATTCTTTTTCAATGTAATTAATGGACATTATGATATTGACATCTCAAACAGGCTCATATTTTGTAAGGACAGAAATACAGGTTATAACTTGAGGAAAAATGACACATAGGACCTTGTTCCAAATTTTAGTAGAACTGATGGTTGTAAATATAGTTTTTTTAACCGCTTTGTAAATGAATGGAATGGTTTACCCAATCATATTAGAGTCAAATAGTATTGCAACTTTTAAAAAAAATGTTTTAAGCTTTATTAAGGATAACTAGAACATTTATATTTCTATTTCTATATCCCTAGTATGGCGCATTGGCGCTTTTGGTTGTCTCCTTCTCCACAACTTTATTATTTGCTTGTAATGTAGTGGAGTGAATCTGTAATCTGTAATAAAGAAATAAATGCCCCTGATAAGACAACACGGCTTTTCATTTCAGCTCATTTAACGTCTATTTTTAACAAGGAAAGGGTTTCATGAATTCACGAATCTTTGCCTCAAATGGTCCAGTTGACAGCTGCTTTAAGATAAGTGAAAGAAAACCCAAGCCTTGCTTACGCACTGCTTATGAAAAAAACAACACATAGGACTAGACTGCAGACCCTGTTGACAAAAGTACAGATTCAACTTTTGAAATATCTGGTTAACCAGTTGAACTAGTAAAGATGCCCGTATAAAGGTGCCGTAAGGATGCGTAAAGAGAGCGCATTACGACCCGGAAAAAAAGTGGCGAGAAGCTGCGTTAAGACGATCTTTACTTATTGCATAAGGGTTCGTAAAGATCCGTTAATAACGTTAGCCTCGTTATTACGACCGGGGTTTTATGGCCCAACGGTGGTTGTATTGTTGGGGTTCCATTGTATTTTCTTACAAATTTGTTCACTTGAACAATATCTTGGTTCTCTTTTTCGTCAAGTTAAAAAAACCGGACGATACAAAGTATGAATTATGCAACAAGAAGTATTGAAACAAAGATGTATCTTATTTGAATGTGAACACCGCAAGATTTTGTCCACCTAGGTTTTAAAGGTAGATAGTCAAATAATCTTACCATAATATGGCCTAAGAGAGAAAGGGTTTGAAAAAGCCGAACGTAGCAGAGTATTAAAAATACCTAAATTGAAACTGCGTGCCCACTCTCCTACCTAACCGCCACCCCACCCCCTCTCCCGTAGATAGATAGATAGATAGATAGATAGATAGCCTTTATTTTAAAACGATGAGTATTAAAGCTACATGAGCTTGTGGGGTCGTTTGCAATTAACTAATTACAAGTAAAAACTAGGGGTATATACAGACAAAACGTTTGAACTAAATTAGCGCTTACAAATATGAAATTATGAGCATAAATTTAAGTATATACAAAGTCATCCTTTCTAAAATTACAAGTGGATGCAGACGTTATCTTAAAGCTGAATTCATTAAAATTAGCTTGAGATTTGAGCTTTAGCCTGAGATCACGATAAGGAATGTTTTTTGTTAGGGCACTACAGTTGTTGGTCACTGCATTCCACAGGACTCAGCCTCTAAACGCGACAGAGTCTTTCATGTAACGCGTGTTGAAGCGTGGAACGATTAAAGAAGCGCAAGTCCGGGTTGAATAGTTTGTGACCCGTTTCTTAGAAATCAGGTCTATTAATGTGACAGGTAACCTGTCGTGGAAAGCGTTATGAAGACAGATGAAAATGGCTAATTTATAATAAATAGACAGAGTTTGCCATTGGGCCCGTTGTAGGACATCAGCAGATGCCATGTCTTTCGGCAAATGAAAGATAAGTCTCGCAGCCCTGCAGTGAAGTCTTTCCAGGGACTGAAATAAGTCGGAATTGCAGCAAGATCCCCATAGTATAAGACCATAGGTCACTGAGGGCAAGATGACCTTAAAGGGCAACTCTCGCGTAGGACAACATTTTTCAGGAAAACCTTGCAAATGTTTCTCTCATTGTAATACCATCAAGAAATATATCTTCAGCGATCTATTTGGCTCAGAAATCGAGATTCAAAGTGTTAAATTTGCCGCTCACTCGAACTTCCGCCATTAACGCTTCGATTTTGCCTATCACGTGACGTGACGTCACAGGTGTGGAACAACAGATGATCTCGAATATGGCTGACTGTAGTTCTTCAAGTGATAGCGCTACCTCTTTGTCCGATTATTCGGTTCTAGAAAAACTTTTAGAATGCGAAGTATAGGGAAGCCCTTCACGGAAATTCAACCCCGGCGTTTTGAGCTGCCTGGAAGATCGTCCGAAGCTGATGAAGTTCGTGCGTCGCCAGAAAACATCGAGCCTACCACTCGCCCGCTGCGATCTCGATAGTGAAGAATGGTGAGTGCCTAGATGGTTTTGAACAATTCTTGTGTACAGTGCGATCCGTTAATCGCTTGATTTCATCAATGCTATGAATGCTTCAAATTGTAAAAGGAAAAGGACTAATTAAACGCGCATTTTTTTTTTGTATACTGAGCGTTTATAATTTTAGATCATTGTTTTCATATGTACAAGTAGTCGAAAGCGTACCTTCCCCTTCTAACGACTACGGGAAATGATAATCTGGGCAAGTTGTCTCTGTGTAGTTTTCTTTTAATTTCTGCTTTAATCCTGGTTTTACAAAAAGCAGTGATTTATATCGGAAGCAATAACTACGCTCTCGTAATTCGTTGACTGCAACGCAAATAAATTTCCATATCTTTGCCCCTTGACAGCCGCTCATGCTCGACTCGTGGAGTGCGTGCACTTTAAAATTTTTCTCTTTTGTTGTTATACAGATTGTTATACATAATAACTGAGAGGCGCTGTACAGTTGTTTTCCTACAAGTCGTTCACTTACTTTTACTGTGTCTTGCTCTGTCAATGAATTTGGTTCAGAAGTTATTATTCTAGCTTCTGTGTATCCTGATGTTATTATTAAGACAATTTAAATTTGGGATGAGATACACCTCCATACTCATGTGAACTAACTGCTTGCATAGAACGTTTCTGCTCCCCAGTATATGATTTTCGAGGTTGGGACACGTCGTATTCACTTAAGTTTTTGTCTGGAGCACAACAATGGTTATGTTAACTACAATAATATTGCATTTGATGAGATATAACTGCAGGAACTTCTATTATAATACGCCCAGTATTGAAAACGTGTACATATTTGAAACTATTTTGTGGTTATGGGCAGGAGATAGTATGATGAAGCCATAAACGTTAAAGAGTGAATAAGCTCAAAATTGAAATAATATTCTCTGTCTTGACTTATGGCAGTTTGATAATTTTCTGGGTGCAGAATGAAAAGGTCAATATTCAACACTTGCTGTGGTGCCCTCCATTAACCGACGTTCAATATTTATGACTAAAGAAAATAACTACTATTGGATGGGGGGAAAATATCTGCTTCCAACGGGTGGCTGTTGTAAAACGTAAATATTTGGAGGCAGTTGAAGTTAAAAATATAGAGAGCCTCCTAGAGGAGCATAGTGGAACACCCAGGATTCCAGGCAGTTTGTCTGAATTACTGGGTGTTACGAGCTGCATGGCAATAGAAGCAGCAGCATGGTGCCTCAGCATATGAAGAATCAGATCATAAAAAAGCAGGCACATTGCCTACAGGCAATTGGTAAGGTGATACTGGAGCTCCCTTACCAGGGACACAGGAGTTACATTACCATCCTTGATTCCTGTGCAGTTAAGTTCATACGACCTCATTTCCAGGAGCCTGAAAGGTTGGAGGATGAGATGGAGTTCACAGGATTCCATTGTGCAGGGCTGAGTTGTTCAAAGCTGGGTTAAGATAACCCAGGGTTAGTGTGACATTTAAATTGAGATTTTAAAGCTTAAAAAGCAATTCAGTTTTAATTCTTTTTGTCCACAAGTTGATGATTGGAAGCTCTACAAATAAGGGAGAAAATTATCCGAGAAAATGCTTTTGAACACAAGAAAAAGAAACCAGGGTTAAATTTAACTCCGGGTTAAGCGCTAACCGGCCATCGAACAACTGGGCCCAGATGAATAAATATACGATGTATTGCAAATTACCCTACTGTATATAAAATATGATGCAATTTTCTCACTCACCACTGGAAGACTGGGCTAGAGCAACTTTGTTGCCATTAAAATGATTGCTACCCAGCAAACAATGTCAACAATAACTGTTGGAACTAAAAAATCTATAAGACTACATGGTCTTTTAAAGTCCAATGGTGTCAGTGTGTGGGAAATACATAATTCTTCTTGACTATTTGCTCCCAGCTTCTGAATAATAATGGCGGATTAGTGTTTGACTAATAACATGTCACCCTTTTTTTTCCAGCAGGTGTGATTGTTAACTGGGAAATAATGTACAAGTTGAAACTTTATATCTTAATGATAAAATGGTATTTTATTGTTCATTGCTGTATATCTTTAGGTTATAATGGGAAATCCTCATTTTTAATTAGAATTCACAAATGGATTGTTTCCATCTTGCATATTTTAATTGAGAAGGCAATAATAATAAAGAAAACCGGTCACAGTTTAAGTGGACCATACAGTGCATGGTCATCTAAGTCACTAATTGCGGTAGTGACCTAGCTTAGCCTAAACTACTAAGAATCAAAACATTGCAGGGCATTGTGGTCCTTCTTTAGTTGACAAGGCTGGAAAGATTTTATCTGCTAACGAAAGAACCCATTGCCTCATCTCTGTTGGGCCTCTCTTTGGATGCAGCAAGTTAGTGTAGGGGTATTCAGTGGCAGGTTCAACATGTAGTTTTTTAAAGCCCTTGAATTTTCTTAATAGCCAGCAAAGACTTTCAGTTATGGTGCTTAAGCCGTAACCTTCAACAAAAAGGTTCATACTGCAGGAACCTTTCCTAGTTCTTTCTCCTTTTTCACTCCCGTTATGGATCGCATTTTTCACCTTGGAATTTTCCAAAAGTACTGCGTCGGGGATTTAAAAACGGGCTGATAATTTCTTTTTTCCTTTCTTGTGAGAAGTCCCAAAGGGAAGTATTGCAAAAGAAGCGTGACACGCGTGGCTATCAAGGCAGTTTTATAGTGTTCGCGGGTAGGATGGGTACAAAGTACCACTAAAGATAATGAAGCAATCCTATTTTAATCAACTTTTTTTAATCAACTGTTTTCGTTTCTTTCCATCCTTAAAAGGCCCATTACATGTAATTTTAGCGTGTGTGCAGGTTTTGCAATGGAATGACGCTACAATCTCGAGAGCACATCTCGAATAACTACATTCAAAATGATGATCATAAAATCGCAATTTTCGGCGAGAAGTGAGTTTTATTTCGCGTGTTTAGAAGCAAAGGTAAATGGATGGAACCTGCAGATTTCAGACAAGAGAACAACACACTTAAGTGAAAACACAAAAGGCGGTATAGAATCAGGCCGGTACGGCGGTCTGTGACGGAGTTCTCTTCAAAGATGTGAGTATTTCCCGGGAAAAAATCGTTTTCGAGGAATGAAGGGCATCAAAACCCATCAGGTAACATTAATGGTTGTATCAGAATTTGAAATCTGCTATAGGAAAGATGTTCTTTATATTATACGTAGCAGATTAGGAGCTTAGCTGTTTACAATTATTGACCTCGGGTCGATAAATGTCTCACGCGACTTCAAAAATACCCTAACAAACAAAATACAGAAAAAAATCTAAATCACCCGCATCTGATGCCCGTGTAAATTTAAAAATTGGAACCATCATCGAAATGCTTTTCCTGAACGTTAATATGACAGTAGAGGCTCTATTTCTCCTTTATTTGCAAGATAAATTTGGTGCGTTTTTCTCTTATAATCTTCACTTGGCAATCCGTGTTCCACACGTGTGACGTAAAATCACGTGACTAACCTGAAATCCGAATGTTTTCAAAATGGCGGCAAAAATCGAGTTTTCGAAAAATTATAAAAAAATAAGTTTCGCAGATATATCCGAAATTTCACCAAAGAGAGACATTACATGCCATTAGGAAACCATAGAGAACTTAAAAAAAGGAGTAATTTTCCCGAGAGTTGCCCTTTAAAATAGAGATCCTGACGAACGTTTCTAGGGAGAAATCTCGACTTCTTAAGTAATCCTTGTTTTTTAGCAAATGATTTTTTGAGTTCCAGCATATGCTGAGTCCAGGTCAGTTTCTCATCGACGGTCATTCCCAGTAATCGTGATTTCGATACCCATTCAATCGTAGAGTTTCCGATAAAGATCGGGGGAATGTTAAATAAATAGACATTGTTTCTTGGGTGTAGCGTGCATAAAGATGATAATTTAGACAGATAATTATGGTTACCATAAAATTGAACGTTGTCTCAATAATCTCTTTGACATGAAAAAACAAAACACTTCATTTTCTTTACTGATAATCTAGTTTGAGGTATTAAACGAAAAGAGTGATTTGTCTTAATTGCTCAGGATGGAGCATAAGCCCTGCATCACGATACCATTTGCTATCCTTATATTTCTCCAGAAGTTAAAAATTATACTCCTAACCTTTCAAGAACTGTTATGAGTTGTGGGGAGTTTGAAGATCACAATGGCCAAATGAATGCGATTTGCGCGCGGACGTCATAGACCGACCCTAAAAGCGAATCCGACCAAAAACAGTTAATTTTCTTTTGCTGATAACCTAGTGTAAGAAATTAATCGAAAAGTGTCATTCGCCTTGATTGCTTAGGAAGGAAAGCAGAGTAACACGATCATCATTAATCTCTCGAAATGTTATAAGTTCCGAGCACTCGCCGTTTAAAAATATTAGAGTTAGATAAGGGATTGCCATTTATGAGCTCAAACTGTCCTGTGTGCGTGGAAGTAATAACAACAGCTTCCTCTTTTCTGTTTCGTCTTAACTTAAATACAGTGATGTCATTTACCATATAAGGAATTTTTAGTTTGTGTCCGGTTTAAAACTTTGATGAAAAGAGTCACACTCCAACATTATTACTATTTGTCTTGATGTGCTGTTTACAAAGCCTTCACCATGTTAATTAACTGTTAAACCGTACGTGAAATAAGGCGAGAAAAGGACCATATTTTAAACTCAGGTATCTATATTTCTTTTCCTCCTTAAATATCTTATTGTGGACAATTTAGGTCTACTTTTTACACATTTTCCGACAAGAGCGATGGTTGAATATAATTTTTAACTCAAGCGTTTAAGAAATTCTGTGTAAGATGATAGTTCAAAGTTTTTAAACGGCGACATTTAATAAAAGTTTTCTGTATGGCTGCAGCTGCACTTCTCAAGTTAACCGGGTTAGTTTTTGAAAAACCCGGTAAAAAATTCTTCACAAGCTAACCTGCTTAAAAGAGTTCAACCAGGTTAATTTTTATCAGCGGCCAGACGCAATTTAGACTTTCCCAAAGTCACTTCAACGTCGCTTGGTCTTTTGTTTTTTTTGTCGTTCGCTTGGGTCGCTCATAGGTCCTCATAACGCTCGCCTATAAAGAGTGACTGACAAAATTTGACCCCCTATTACTGATTAAGAGAGGTAGACTTCTTTTAAGTCTTAACTCAATTTTGTTAAGAAAGAAAAGCTGAACTTGGAGCGGAGTAATTTCGAAACTGTTGTTCTTGCGTGCATCGTAAAGCCAAAATTTGATCATTCTCACGAGCTTTTAGGCGGAGATGATCGACTGATTGATAAGGTTAACCCGCGTTAAACTACCTCGCAAGGTGTTTTGAGAAAACCTAACCGAGTTAAGAAAGTCGATTGTTCTTGCTTGATTTGCAAAGCCCGGTTAGAACTCGGTTAAGACTGTAGAAAACCCTGCCGCACTCGCAGGTTTTTTAAACGAGTTAACTTTAATTAGCTAATTGTAAATAACTCGGTTAAGTCCCCAAGTGCAGCCGCAGCCATGCTGTTTGGCAGATCGAAAAACTGTTATTGGTAAGTTCACACAAAAAGTTTTGCTAGTATGTGTCGATCAGTGACTGAAGAATTTCCTCAGTTGTTGAAGAAAGTTAAAGCTATCTACTGACTATTGCTTTTGTTGACTTTTTGTGCTAAGAGTGGTATCCAGTCAACGTGTTTTATAGGTCTAGACGAAGGAAACTGAAATCTGCATTATTAAAGAAACTCAAAAAGAACCTAAAGGCCGGATGTTACAAGCAAACAGTCTATGTATGCAAAGCGTAATATGCACATTTAGACTGGATTCGTTAGCCTGTTCCAGGCGTTCAGGTAGTAGAGCGCGGCGGTCAGGTCAATGGCTAGCGAGTTAAATTGTACACCGGGAAAACGGCGGGAGGGGGCCGGGGAACGAGGAGGGGGCGAGGGCGAGAGTCCCTCCCTCTTCCCCCCTCTAGTTTCCCCTCGTCTCTTTTTTTTCTTCGTGAATTTTTCTCCCGCGCTCTACTATCTGAACGCCTGGAACACGCTATGTATTCGTTCACTGGAACTGGAATTGAGAGTTAAGCGACAGTTGAGTGTTCCTTACCACTCGTGAAAAAAATAATTTACCCCCATACTTTTATGGGTAAAATTTTTGGTTAGCCACAATGGGTGTTAAGTTTTTGATATTATTAGATAAGAAAAACCCATATGCAGCAAACTATATTCATATATAAAAACATGATAAATTATGAACGACTGACTTTCTTCAATTAATCGCTCGCGATGCTAATTACTCAAGCTTCTGTTTTTGATCGCGCTAGTTTTTCTGTCTTCCATTTAGCAGAAATATATCAATCGAAAAGTCTCCCTTTTATTGTAAAAGGAAAGTTTGACTTGAACACTTACGGCAAGTCTTTTGCATAACTATGTCTTCAGTTTCTCTTGGGGCCATTTTATCTCCAAGAGAAACTGAAACAATGCTTCTGCAAAATTTTGCGGTGACAAACAAAGAGCATTGTGGTATGTTAAGGTATTTTCTGGAGTGATCAATTTGAAGAAAATCTGCTAGATTAAACATCCCTATATAATTTGCCTCGAGACAGGCAAAATCGGGCACGTTACACCGATCGAGGTAAACACGTTTCTAAAGAACAAAATATTTTGAATTGCAAAGACTATTAGGAGAAACAGTTATTGAGGTCGGCTTTCGCATGATCTGAGAAATTGAGGAGCAAAAAATTGAATAGCATTATCTGCAAAATTATGCAGATTAAGGAGGGTAGTGTTTCAAAGAATTCTATCTAAAAACACAACAATAAATGCTAAATTATTTGATCTCAATTAGGATTATTACTGCCATCTCTGCAGAACTAACCAAGCCTAAAAGCGCAGCTCCCGCATAAGACTGACCGTGTGCTGGGAAAAAATTTAAGCTTCTGAAAGAAAATTCACTAAACAACTTAACCTAACTGCATACTTTGCTTTATGATAACATGCGAACTCTTACGTCAAAAATTTAACCAAAGTTTACCTTTCTCTCTTCCGTCAATCACGATGACTGACCTCTCAGGAAATATGGGTTTTCTTCAGCAGGTGCAAAAGGTCATGATAGTAGTTTGTGGTTGGTAGATTTCGCTTCATCTTGCTTCTTTTGTTTTCTCGTAATTATGATCGACGGAAGTTAAGCTACAACTGAACAAAACTATGCTTACAGGGAAGGAAACATGTCTTGTTTTAAACTTAAAGTTGTTGTCCATTTCTTAAAAATAGTTCACTTCTTGTTTGCAAAGCATACATATGTGAATTAACCGTTAAGGCGTCAAATAACGAGCGAAGAGAACAAGATTTTTTCAAATCAGGTTTTTTTTTTCTTGGACTATCATCTGGTGAGTCGTTTACACTCCTTTATAACAAAGGAAAAAATCGCATGAAGAACGATGAATGACAATGTGTAATTCCCGTTTAAAAAAATTCTGTTTGTAAATAACAAAGTCTCTGTACATCGAAAATTAAGAAAAAGAAGGTTTTTACCCACATACTCTTTTGTGTGAAGGTTTTCTTATTATGACTTGCTCAAATTAATTACTCACAATGCTAATTAATACTTCTTCTGTTTTTTTTTATCACATTCGTATAGCTTCAGTTCTTAATTCGCGAAACAAAAAGTCTCCAAAAAGCCGCGAACGTTTTGACTTAACAAGAAGACTTGTGATAACGTTGGATTTTCATCTCATGCGCCTGAAAGTGTCAAACGAGACATTAAGAGACCGACGATCGTTTGTTTTCATATTACTCTGGATATTTGCATTTGCATATTTACACTTCGTTTTTTCTTAGGGATGAGTAGAGCGAGCGAAAAACGAGCGCGCATGAAAATCAACCCGCGCGAGAAAAGGAGACACACGACTGGGTGATTTTCACGCGCGCTCGCCTTTCGCTCGCTCTACTATCCCTGAGGAAAAATGAGGGACTACTCGTAGTCTAAATAATTCTCCGCTTCTGGATGGCTCAAATCGCAAATCGGCTAATTCTTTCGTTGACCAAACTAAGAAGGCGTTTGTGATTTTAGTACCAATGACTTCAATTGCAAGAAATATTGGCAGAAAAAAAAAACGTCAACCTGTGAGAAGCCCTGAGGAAGTCTCATCAGCTCAGCTGTTTTCTTAGAACTAGAGAAAATGGCAGAAACCAACCACTAAGCAGATAATAGATAGAGTTAATGCCCTTTTAGGTTTCTTTTTGGGCTTGTTCTCTTTGTCATATATTTATGACATTGTTGGATTGTCTGATAATTACATCAATGTTTACGCTAATTATCTTGCAAATCATCGTCTTCCAATGACATGCAATAAGAAAATGCAATATTTACTTAGACGTGCCCAGCGCTCGAAGGATGGTGGAATGGTCGAATCTTCGCCTGCAGATCATGTTATTTCCGTGATGCCTTGTTCACCTCTCATTTTAAGTTCCTCGTCTAGATTAAAATCACTCGAACATGCAGTGGAGTAGGGTTTCGTTTTATTTTGAGCGGCAAAACAAAATTATTATGTTCACTATGGAGTTTTAAAAAGTTACGATGCAGTTGTAAATATGATCCTATGTAATATTAACTAACTTCAAAAGTAAACGAGAATAATTATTTTTTACATTTCCCCACGCGGAACCCGGCCATTGGTAGCTGGTAACTATACACTACGCTCCTGCTGTCAGGAGTACTTGTGGTACACTGTATGTTTCTATGTCTGTCTCTCATTTCCATCACATAAAGCAGCTGTCTGGGGCAAGTCTGTCTCTCGGTAATACTTTGCTTTTGGTTCGGGAAGTGCTTGGAATGTGTCTTCCAAATAACCTAAAAATTCAGCTTATCAACAGGTTTTTTCAGGTAGTCTTTTATAGGTTAAATATCAATCGGTGAATTTTTCTTCGTAGTTTCTAATCTCGGCTGTTCTGTATCTGTAATAGTTGAAGTAGTTTTTATAAGCGTTTGGTTTTTTATTATGCCATTTGTTTTACATTGCAAAAGCGCATGGAACACAGGGAAACTAATAATTTAATAATTTATCTTCTTTACTACTTGCATGCTTTTTAAACTTTTTAATATCAATGCTTCTAAGGCTACCTACAATTACACGTAATTACGACTTTTAAGATCTCCTAAGTTCGCCAATTTTCAAAGCCCCAAAGCAGGATTAGCAGACGACTTAAACCCTCAGCTAACCCACCGTCAAACATAATTCTAGAGGTACTGCAAAACAGATTACTATTTTGCCTGATTTGTTGTTCGGGTTTTTGTTTGAGACCGCGATTTAAGTAAAAAGACGGTGAAAAGCCATTTAAGACTTTTTTAATCAAGCACGATCGACTTTTCTCGAAAGCTTATTGTCACCTTTGAAGACCTTAAAAGAGATTTAATACTTTGAAAATAATTTTCATTGTTTACTTATTATGACTATCATTTATTCATTTTCTACGTCTTCATTGCTCTAATTTTGTTAAGGCCCTGATGATGGTGCCAGCGTGTTTTTTAAACGTGATGATATTAATCTATTCCTCAGCTTTAAAGATTTCTTTGCATCTAAAGGAAGATGAAGATAATCTTTTACCGAAGAAAGTGCAGCATATATATTTAGCTGTTTGTAATAAGCAGACTGTAAGCTCTTCATTCGCTTCAGTTATATGCCGGGAGGGTTCTAAATCGTAAGTCATCAGCGGGTATGACAGAAAAAGTAAGCTGGAAATCAATTCTCACTCTTGTCAGTGTCCAAGAAATTCATCTAGCCAAGAATATAAGTTTTATAAAAACTCGCTTGCTGATAAAATAAATCATTTTGGTTGGACCTATAACACTAATCACCCGGCACCTTGCTTCTGGAAGCGAGGTTGCTAACCAGATGGTTAAATTTCTTTCATTGTTATTAAGGAAATTGCAGTTAAAGAAAAGCTCACCCCCGAAACAGTTAGTGGTTATAAAATAATTCTGTCCAGGGGGTTTCTTGGCCATTTATTCTTGAACAAAAGACTATGAGAGGCCATTTGCAACCTGCCTCGTCCATGATCCATGACCTTGAGAGAAAAATAACATTTTAAAAGGAACAAGCTAATTGATCCTTTGTCCCACTGGTTTTGCCTAATCTCAAGCAAAGAATCATTAATTAACGTGGGTCATGGCTAATTCACGCTGTCGTTTACGTCTCTGTATTCTTTGTAATATTATGCACACGCCCTTGTTAGTTATTACCGTGCAAACGTTTCAGCGGTATTTCGGCCCGGTTTCAGTACAAAATAAGCTCTGGAAGCTTTTTCACTAGGCTTTTGGCATCTGTTTTTCCGGTAGGTCTACATAGAACGTTTGTTGTAACTTTACATCCATTTCTCCTCGTAAGTCTACTTGTACACGTAATTCATCGGTTCTTTGTCGTGTTTTGACCACTCGGACGTTAAAGGAAGTATGTCAGGATTTTTGGGTATTACTTAAAAACCTCAAAAACACATTGGAATCCCAGAAAATCCTGAAATAGTGGTTCAGTTTTATATACAACTACTCAACTGTGGGCCTCTTCAGCTTTCGATGGACATGATAGACCGAAATGGAAAGCAACTTGAAAAAAATTCGACGAATTCTGCTTTGTTTTCCCTCTGATAGAATAATCCCATGTCTTTCTTTTAGAGTTCCAACGTATGAGAAGATGTAACTGATAATAATACAGTTGAACCTCTCCACGACGGTAATCCACCTTGGGGACAGAAAAAAGTAGCCGTTGTGGAGAGGTGGCCGTTATGGGAAGATAGTATACATGTTTATTGTGCTAAGTTTATGCTTACTGTATCTCCTAATGGTAATCCAAGCTTATATAGTAATTATATAGAGATAAAATACATAAAAAAAACTTGAATAATGTTTTGATCAAAATGTTAGCGTGACAAAGCGAGCAAGGTTCGAAACATTAGCCATGTAGACAAATTATACTTACCGCAGCAGTATAACCGGAACACTTTTAAATTATACGATTGCCGCAATTAGACATCAACGCACCATACGGATGAAATTTCTTAACCATTCTTGACTTTTCCATCAGTCGCTGAAAAAACTGGCCGTTGTAGAGAGGATTTTTTAGCAGTTGGGCACACGCTGGCTTTAGTGGCAGTGGCTGTTGTAGAGGGGTTTAAGTAAGAGTCAATGTATGGACTGTCCACCGGGACAAAAAAAAGTGGCCGGTGTAGAGAGGTGGCTGTTGGTGGAGGTTCGACTGCATATAATAATTTCAGGTCTGCTGAGACCAAAAAATGTAGAACTCACTTATTACCATGGCCCATTAAGCCATACACGCCCAACACGTGACTTCAAAACGGCCTTGAGTAGACAGCTCCGACAAATATCTGAGAGGAATCGGAGGAATAAGTAATTGTAACCAGGCTCAGTAGAGATAGGAGGACGGGAAAACAACCTCAAAATAAAATAGTGTTAAAAGTTGGATCATTTAATCTTATAAACCTTTTATTTGTTTCCATTTAGGTTTTGTCGGAATAACATCAACCTGTCCGTCATGTCTGATGTAGCTGATGTTGCCATAACAGCGTCAACAGCCATATTCATCTTCATAAGTATCGCTGGAAACTTCCTTGTTTGTGTTGTTTTATTGAAGAATCGAGATATGAGGTAGCCCCTACAAAACTACTACCCTTTTCAAGTAGTCTACCAACACTGACAAATTCGAGTTTTAGTCCCGTGGAGTCGGGGTTTTAGTATTTTTCTGATGGTTATAAACTGCTCCCGGTTTTCTTTTCTGGAATACACTCTTTTTTTATTTTAATAAGAATGTTGTTTTTCTGTCCCAGGCTGAATATTCTTATTTTTCTGTTGATTTTAGGCTGAAAATATTCTTAAATTATTCTTGATTGTAAATTATAGCTTACGGCATTTCCACTTTAGATCTGTATTGGAGTTTCAATTGCCAGTATTCGGTGTCTAGTTCTGTCTCCAGCGCCGTTTAGGGAAAGGAATAATTTTTTGCGGTTAAATCAAAACATATAATTGTACGGTATTGACGGATTTTCAACATTCAAAATTGAGTACTTTCCAAACTCTCAGCCTTGGGTTTATTCTTAAGTATTCTTAAAATTTCACAAATGTAAGCCTCAATATTCTTATAAAACATATTCTTATAGAAAAAAAAGAGTGTAGCGGAATACTGGATTACACAATGCAATTATTAAGAATACAGATCCATGTGTTTCTCTCATTTTCGCATTTGTCGCAGTTTTTGAAGCACTTTAAAACTCCTTACATCTATGTCATGCATCCATGGTTTTGTTCTAAAAATCTGTCAAATCAAATTAAAAACCTATTTAAGAACCTAAATAGCCTAAAATCTCACTAAATGGGTTAGCAAAGGTTACTTTTGAGTTAAGCTGATGAAATATTATTTCGCCTAGGACTCCAATAAATTATCTTCTCCTTAACCTAGCAGTGGGGGATATCATTTTCGCAGCGTTTTACATAGCGAACATCGTACCGAAAAACAGCTTCACTCTTCCAGAAGGGTTGTCAGGCGGAATATTATGCGTTCTTTTGGCGGACGCAACGTTGACTTGGCTTGGAGGATGTGCTTCAGTTTTCACTCTCGTTGCCATTGCCATTGAACGTTATTATGCTGTTATATATCCCCATGGCAACAAGGGAAAACTAACCATGCGCAAACTGAAGGTATGTGTTAGCTGCAGTCGTTTACAAAGTAAACAAAAAATGAATAAATAAATAAGTAGATGAGTAAATAAAAACATTAATAAGTAAAATTATTCGAAGTTTCATACTCACCTAGAGATTATTCGTTTACTATCCTTGGAAGAAAAGGAATTAGCAATAAGGGAGGGAAAAAGAGGAAATCCTCAGATCACCGCTTGGATGGAGGGCATTGACCGAAAACAATCTTAACACACGTTTGACACCACGAGTCATCATCTAGACCTGCTACAACTCTACCCCACCGGTTTTCTTAGCGAGCGGGGCGAGCTTTAATGAGCTGCGAAGCCGCGAACAAGCGACGAAGTCCCTCGTCCCGCGCCATATTAAATCAAACGAAGGAGTTTTTTTAAAAAAGTCTAGTTATCATGCTCTGACATATGTTTATCCTAACGAGATATCAATTCAACGTATATAAGACTGTCTGTTGTTTTTGTTGAGGTTAAGAGCCCTCAACGTTAAAACCTATCAATCAGTATTGACAGCTTCATAAGTTTCCCTTCGAATTGTCCTTTAATCGCGATATCCGCCAACTTTGCAAGCGCTTAAGGACTGATAGGATAAAAACGATGTCACATGGTTTCTTAGGGGGAACACAAGTGAAAAAAATTGCCAGTGGAAGAAATCGCGGTGGAATAGTTTATCCTAGACAACAGGAAGACGATAATGTCAAAAAGTGGGTGGAAATGATCATTGTTAAGTATTTTTTTAATGCAGTAGCGACCGTAGATGTCCTCATGACAAATAGTAACGACGTAACGTCTTGCCAAAACTCGATATGTACATTTTGCATGACTATGAATTCGTCGTATCTTTTTAATAGAATAAACAAACTCGACCGCAATTACTCGTATCACCTGTTTGCCCTCCTGAAATACAACCTGACATAGCTTTTATTTCATCGATCCTAGTGCTTCATCAAAGATGGCGGGTATTGTGAATAAGGTCTATTTTTACCACTGTACTTTTAAATTCCAGGTATTTTTTTCATTAATTTTGTGGCATACTTACCAAACTTACCAACTGACTTTACAGTTTGTTTTCTAGTTTGTCTGATCTTAGTAGTCATTTTACTAGTTTCTAACGCTCAGTTACTTATAGTAGTTGCTGGCTGCCTAAAAGGTATTCCAAGCATGACAGTTCTCTGGTACAGGTTTCGCTCTGTTACCCGGGGGTACTCCCTATAATGGTCTATACGTGGAGGCTCCGACCGGAAGGGGTACCTTTTTCAGGCCTCAGGTAAACGAAAGGGTAGTGATTTTACTCGTTGAAGTGTACGAATGATTAGGAAAATCTGTCATTAGGGTCTGTAAAAGGGCCTAAAAGTGCTAACAGATGAATTTTGAGGCTTTATAAAGTCGAGAAAATGTTCTACTTTTGCGATTGATTCCTATTTAAAAGACCGTGCATTTACAGCAGTCAAAAGGGATGCAAAGTTCTGAACAAGGTATGTGAAAGGGGTACCATTTGTCAATAGAATGTATACGAAAGGAATACCTTTTTTTGTGAAAAATGATATACAAAAGGGTAAGGGGTTGGACCTCGGAGCGGAGCCTTCCCGCATAAAAATTTGTTAAGTACTCCCCGGTTTCTGTTACCCCTAATTAATTCCGCGGCGTATCTGTTAAGGTGACTATTGAAAAACGTATTGTACAGCATTTAAAAAAATGGTCTTAACTGTCAAATTTTACACAATCTGTTTAAAGATGGTCATCGCTGGATCATGGATCCTGGCCGTGATTCTTCAACTTCGGGAGTACGGGAAAAAAGTGGTTGACAACTCGTGCGTTTATGTGTGGTCTGAAGAGTTTGTGAACTCCTTTAGTTTGATGTGGCATAGCTTTGTGTTTGTTTCATGTATCATTCTGGCTGGCTTGTACTCGAGAGTCGTCCATACGTTGTGGTTCAGACGTAATGATCATGACGAAATAACACACCATCAACAGGTATGGATAAATAGAGATGCCTGCAAATTTAGTTGTGTGCCACGCAACATTATAATAGAATTTGGTCACGTGCTTGTATACCCCTTAGGAACACTCCACGGGCGGTAAGCTCATCGAGGGGGGAAGAGAGTTCATCTCGATCGCGAAACGTTCAGAGCGATCCTACTTAAATTATTCTGTTTAAGATCAATCGAACTGTCTGGATTAGGAGACTGAGCCGTCTGAAGTAACTTAGGAAGACTTCGTTCAATCGCACTCAAACGGCCTTGAGATCAGAATGAACGCTTGCCCGATGGCTTACCATTCAGCAAGCCGTTGCTATGTTGTAACCAAGCACGTGATCGACTTCCGTAAAGAGCCTATTTTGCTTCAAAATGTAGGTCTTATTTTTACGGGTCAGATTATTTTACGTATATACGGTATTTACCCTCAGCCAATAATAAACCACCCAACCCCACCTCCAACAAACCACAAGTCAATGGCACAAAAACACTAAATAGGTCCTCAGCTTCAATGAACCCTCAGCAACAATGACAAAGACATTTCATTCTTAATTTAAGTTGAAATGTGGCTACAATTCCGAGTTCCCTTGGTTGTAGTCCTTAGCTAACTATGTCTCAAGTACGAACAGTTTTCAAGTCTACTTTCCGTATAAACTTAACAGTGTAGTTATCTCCCGTGTACAGGGTGTATTGAAGGTTCGCAAGCGAGTCACTTTGACAGTGGTAATCATAAGTGCTATATTTGTTGTTTCCTGGGGTACACATTCCATACTCCATGTCATGGATGACATTGGCTCGTACAAGCTCGGCCCAATTGCAATTCCCATTTCTCATGTGATGATTATGGTCAATTCCGCCATCAATCCGTTTGCTTACGCTCTGATAAACCAGCGTTTCAGGGACAAGATGAAAGGAATGTTCTGCTGCATTTCAGTGAAGGTCCATCCTGACAGCGAACTACAGGTCAAAAGTATGTCTCTTCCGCCTAACAACACAGAACAATCGAACCTTCCAACATCATGAACTGGCTTAGCGCAAATTCCCACATATTTTGTGTGTTTTTTAATCACAAGCCACGGCAAGCAGTTTTGTCTGGAATTTCCCTTGCAGAATGCCATGATATTTTAACGTCTTAGGGGAAAATTCAATCTGCAGCCTTAAGGAAACTGTTACTGTTTCTTATTTATTAATCTTTTAACGAAAATCATGTTAATAAGTAATTATGAAAATAGTGCAATGATAAGTAGAGTTAATAGCTCACGTTCGATATATTAAAATTCCAACATGACTCTGAGTTTTCTTTGTGTTCAAGTCTCTTCTGAGAATTGCGTTAGATGCTTCTTGAAATAAGGACTTATACCTTTATACTACTGTTTAGACGCCTTTTTTAATCAAAGCCTTTTTGTTTAAAATTCAAGAGGACTTGTTTGAGAAAAGTTTAGTTTAGGCTATGGGTACTTTATATAACATATTACGTCATAGATTGTTTTGTGACAAATGTATATAAAAATAAATCATATACTTATGAGAACTGCTTGTACCTAATTCATTCTTTCCCTTTTTATCATTGCTTAGTACAGTCGATGGACTTATTTTGCCAAACCCAAACGAACAAGAACTTGGATCATCATTCAGATTATTTTTCCGATTTTTTTTTTGGCTGTAGATTACTACTTCACTTGCAGATACCTGTCTAAGAAAAAAAGATGTTTTGCTACCTGATCATTAAAGTCTGGGCAAGAGTTTGCTCATCCTCGCGTAAAAATTACTTTTCTCCTGATAGTCGATCAGAGGCAATCTTGGAAACAAGAGCACGCTCGCTTGACCTCTCAAAAATATTTAGGAGTTGTGGGTGTTTTAATAAAAATCACAAGGGCTATTGCGTTTGGCGCGGTACGTTAAAATTCTGGCCGACACCTAGGGCGAAGCGGACATTTCTCTGAATCTAAATCTACGATTAACCCAAACAACTACTAACAATCACGGTCTGAAACGAGTCAGGAGACAAACACACAACTTAAGCTATGTTCAAAATGTACCGAATACTGAGCTCTCGTGCCGGCACGAAAACCATGGACATGTAGGATAGGGTTTCTGTTCACATACAAGAATGGTGATTACGGAGTGATTTCAGCTGTAACGGAGCGCTGCGCCGCGCCGCGCCGATCTCCAAAGTGGAGAGTCACATATCGGATAGGTGTTCTTTAAGCATCAAAAGCTATCGAGTATAGTGTGATAAATGCCTTGGGGCAACTTTTTAACCCGTAACTTTTGCTCATTTAATCTCTTTAAAGTGGAAATCTGACAACACGGCTTTTCGTTTCAGCTCATGTAGTATCTTTTTTTTTAACAAGGAAAGGGTTTGATGAAGAATCTTTGCCTCAAATGGTCTAGTTTACTGCTGCAAAAAAACCCAAGCATTGCTTACGAACCATTTTTTTAAAAGAAACCAACACATACCTGTAGGACTAGAGGTAATAGTCTAGTTTAAGAGATGAAACGAAAAGCGTCATTTGTTTTAATTGCTTCAAGAAATGTTATGGATTGTGGGGAGGTTTATTAAAATCCTAAGGGCCATTGCCATTAGTGCGCAGTCTGTCATAGTCCAACGTATGACCTACAACAGACCTCTAAGGGTTCAACCATTTTACTTTTAAGGGGGAGGGGGTATGGGTGATTTGGTTTGGGTAAAAATTTGTTTTGCCCAAACCCTGATAGAATTTTTTTCCCTGACATATAACGGTTTACGTTTTTTCCAGCATACGCCATGAGAGATATTTTTTCAATTCTGGATCGGCCCCTAAAGGGAATCGGACCAAAATCGATATTAATGTTAATCTTGTAAAAATTCTAGTATGAGCCAATAAATTGTTGCTGCTGTTGTCAAGACTTCGAACCATTTTCGTCCACCATTTTGAATTTTCCTCAAAAAAAGCTGACCTAGTAGCCCGGCTGCATGCATCTTGTGCCCTGCATTTCTGCGACAAGAGTGAGCCGGGATATCCGGCTCCTTTTTCACAGGAAAGTCATAAATTGTCCACCAATTCATTGTGAAATATGGATAAAAGGCCAAGTTAAGCACCAAAAGTTGCTCTGATATATCAGAATTGACAGCAAACTAGAAATTGCTCAGAATGCGATAAGTCCGAAAAGTTGGGCAAAACCGAAAAATTTGCTCGAAATACGAGAAGCTGCCAAAAAGTTGCCGAGCAACTGTTCAAACCCTAGACTTGATTGCTTAGGGGAAAAAAGCCGGGTAACATGATCATCATTTAGCTCTTGAAAAGTTAACAATTTCAAAGAGTTCCAAACACTCGTCGTTTAAAAATATTAGAGGCATGTCTTGAAGATACCATTAAAAGTTACATATAAGGGATTGCCATTTATGAGTTCAAACTGCCTTGTGTGCGTGGTAGTAATAACTACAGCTTCCTGTTTTCTGTAAATACGGTGACGTCATTTACCATATACGGAAGATTTAGTTTGTGTTCGGTTTAAAACTTTGATGAAAGGAGTCACAGTCCAACATTATTACTATTTGTGTTCATGTTTGCAAAGCCTTCACTATGTTAATTAAACATTAAACCGTGAAACAAGGCGAGAAAAGGACCATATTTTCAATTCAGGTATTTCAGTATATTTCTTTTTTTCCTTAAATGTTAATTGCGAACAATATATTTACGCTTACTTTTTACACAGTTTCGGACAAAAGCGGTGGTTGATATGATAATTTTTAACTCAAACGTTTAAGGAATTGTATGTGTGTTTTAAAAAAAGTTTCCAAAGGGCGACATTAAATAAAAGTTTTCTGTATATTATCTTCGATAATTTGGCAGATCTTAAAACTTTTTAATGGTAATTTCGTACAAAAACGTTTGCTAGCATGTGTCGTGCGGTAACCTACATTGAAGAATTTCCTCAGTTATCAAAAAATGATAAAGCGTTCTATTGACTATCGCTCTTGTTGACAGTCCTGAGAGCGGTATCCATTTGACGTGATAGTTAAAGACGCAGGAAAGAGAAATTTCTAACATTAAAAATCTGAAAGTTAAATGCAAATAGTGTATGTATACAAAACGTAAAGTGCACGTTTAGACTGGATCCGTACATTCGAACTGGAATTGCCAGTTACGTGTTTCTGACCACTCGAGAAACCAAAAATTTACCAGCATACGTTTATGGGTAGAATTTTTGATTAACCACGATGGGTGTAAAGTTTTCTTATCATAAGATAAGATAAACTCATATGCAGTAAACTATATACATATAAACATGATATATAATATACGGTGAGATATTACGACTTGCTTCAAATTATCGCTCGCGATGCTAATTACTGCAGCTTCTGTTTTATCACGCTCGTATAGCTAGTTTTTCTCTTCCATTTAGCAAAAATATGCTGATCGAAAAGTATCTCTTTTATTGCAGAAGGAGAGTTTTGACTTAAACACTTAACGAGAAATCTTCACTTGTAAGGACTTTTAGATTTTTTTCGTACACCTGTACTCCTTAGAAAATGACCCACTGGACATTAATAATTGACGATCGTTCGTTTTTATTTAGCTCTGGGTATTAATTTGCGTTATTATTCATTCAAAGTATTTCTCCGTTTTGTGATTGGCTGAAATCCTCCAGTTAATTCTTCATGAATAGCTAGCGATGATAAATTTTGGAAGCCTAATGCAATTAAATTTGCCTCCTGTGTCTGCTTGGTTGTCTGAGCTTACTTTTTAATAAGTATCTGTTGAGCATACAGCTATTTCAAAAAACGTTGTTGGAGGAAAAGCAAAAAGGCTTCAAGAAAAGACTGCAAGGTAATGTGGATAGTTTATTTATGACTTTTTCTAGAAAAAAGTCAGTCCACTAAACTAGCTGCTGATTTCTTTATTCATCATTTATACTAAATCGTACTTATCATTTCAATTTATAAAAATGCTCATGGTAAAATTACGTTTCAGTAGAAGGGCACCCTCGCTCGTTCCGATCTTTGAAGAGCAATTTGTTCAGCTAAAGGGAAAAAATCTTTTTTTATTTATTTATTTGGTACATTTTATCAACTTGTATAACATGGTTACAAAGATACTTTGTAAAAAGGAAAACCATTTGATAAAAGCAGAGGAAAAAATTGAAAAGAAACACATTCTATAATTTCGCCTCTTCTTTGTACTCTTTGTCTTGATGCGGAGCCCCTTGTATATAGAGCCTGAGGGCCTTTTTCCGTCCATAAGTCCCTTTATAGTCACGGGGGGTCGACGTAAAGACTCTAGGTGAGGGTGAGCGGGCCTGCCAATGGTCTTTCTTTTTATGTAAAGGGTTCTGAGTAGATCCATAGCCAAATATGTATTCATTTTTTTATATAATACTTTCAGTGATCGTGACCAACACTGAGATAGTCATGTCCGAATCAGCTGAAATCGCTGTGACAGTAGTAACAGCAGTGCTTATTATCACAAGTATCATTGGAAACTCTTTTGTTTGTGTCGTTATTAAGAAGAATCGTGACATGAGGTAAATACATGGTTGCCTGGTAGATACCTATTCAGAGACATTACCTACTCCCTTTAGCCTCTTGATGCCATATGTGTGTTTACCATTCGATTTGTCTTGCGGAATTTATCGCACCTGTCTGTTATGAGTCCAACTGATGATTTACATAAGGCCCGAAACCCCGGGGGGGGGATACTCCCATAAATTATATATACGGGTATGTGCCGCCCAACGGGGTCGTGATTTTGAAGCTCCTGATTTAGAACGGGGTATCCATTTCAGAGGCGTTTTCTAGAACGGGGTATAAAACTTGTGGATCACGGCTTTATCTTCTGCTTAAAATTGTTGCTGATTAAAACGAAGCATTTATTTGATGTATAAGTCGAACAAATAAGGAAATACCTTTTTAAAAAAATAGGGCTATTTCAATTTACAAACTTTCTAGAACGAAGTATAAAAAATTGGCCCATTTCTAGAACGGGGTATCAATTTTAGGGGAAAGTATTTTTTAGAACGGGGTGCCAATTTGGAGTCCCGGGCGGCACATACCCACCCAAAAAAATACTCAAGTTCTCCCCCCCCCCCCCCGGGCCCGCAACTTAATTATGATAACGCTCTGTTCAAAGTTTGATAACATCACGATTTAAAAGACCTGTCTCCTCGCTTTCCAAGTTCTTCCTGCCATCCTGCAAATCCTTAAAATGTGACAAAGTCGACTACATCACAATGCGTTGAGTAACTTTATCATTTAATTTCACAGAAATCCCATAAATTACCTACTGGTAAACCTCGCAGTGGCGGATATCATTTATTCAACAATCCCTCTACCGCGCATGGCTTGGGGACACAGTCACCCAGGGGGAGTAACTGGCAAGGTGTTGTGCTTAGTACTTACAAAGGGAACCTTTGCATGGGTCGGAGCTACTACTTCAGTCTTGACTCTGGTTTCTATTGCCACAGAGCGATATTTACGCATTGTATGCCCCCATGGCAGCAAAGCAAATCTTACCATGCGCAGACTGAAGGTATGTTGCAATCTCATACTAACTTAACAATAAGCCACCGCTCTGGTAAAATCATAACAAAGACTACAAAAAATAAGTCAATAAATATAGACTAACACAACAAATTCAATAGATGGACATCCCACTTTTAGGACTATAGCTTTTCATAATTTCAAAACATGTGGGAAGAGGTTAGACATTAAGGAATCCCCAACTGGATGCAACAAAATCTATCTATGAATAACTAGTACCATAGTATAGAACTGCTCAATAGCTTTCATTTAAGACACCTCACCCAAATATTTAATTCCCCACACTCAGAATTTCTTGCATGAATTAAGGATTTTTCCACCGTGAGAGAGATAAGCAGTTTTAATCGTGCTATTTCCTAGTTCAACGAACTTGTAGCCTTTTGAACAACAACTGTTAGGTACATGGATGATTCATTAACTTCTCTCTCCTAATGTTGTTTTTAACGTTTTATTACTAGATCATAATACCTAGTTTTTGGACCTTTTCTTTCCTTTCTAAAATTCCGGGAGTAATAAACATGGCATTGGACAAGAAATTCAGGAAGTTTGATTCAAAATTCTGCACCAAGACGTCGCTTTCCTACAAAACGTGGATACGAGACGGTTCTATGTACTCATGGTTTGCGATGGTTGTTATCTCCATTGTGGTGATGATTGGGTTATATTCCAGAGCCATGTACACTTTGTGGGCCAAGGGTGACAACGTTGAGTGCACGCATCGACAAATGGTATTTTCTTTATCACATCAAAACGTTAAAACGTAGAATTACTCTTGGGTCTAAGCTCTTCTGATAAGGTTTAGTACTCATCATTAGATAACATTCTAATCGCCTTCTTTCATCTGACTTTATTTCTGTCTTTATAGCCAGAGTGATTTTAGACACTTATCCATTTAATAGATCGTTGTAGAATACTACGCACTATTACGCTTAAAATGTCATTGATTTCTATTGTTTACTTGTAACTATTTGGCACTAATTGTTTGATACTGTTTCCCAGGTGTTTCGGCGGTTTTAATAAAGTCATTTTATAACTAGTTTACCTCGTTATTAACACATGTTTTAATAATCGAACTGTAAACCAAACCATGTCAGGGAATGGTTGATACATCGACGACACGATTTGTGACAAAAGTGAACTTTTAATATTACTCGACGGTAACAGACGTGAGTATACAAAGCGAGAGGTGGAAGGCAAACCACGAAAACCTACGGCACCGTCGCGAAAGTAAATCTTGCTTCTTTACAAAGTTTTTTTTACTCGAAGCCTGTTTATAAGAGGTGAGACAGCCCAGTTAGCTAGGATGGCCTGATTTACGGGGCTACAGCTCGGCTCAATTGTTTTGTTTCCTCATTTTGCTTATTATGAGAAGGCAGCTAACCTAGATCCTAGTTGCTCTAGCAGAGATCTAGACAAAGCCTCGTAATATAAACACAACGAAAACTTAAAGAGAAAACAAGACATGAGCCGAGCCAGCCTGGCGAACACGAGCTAACTCATCTCATATTAACAGGCACTTTTCTGCTACAGCAAATTTTGATTTAACCTGTAAATTTGATTTCTGTTTTTTTTTTACGCAGGGTGTGCTGAGGGTACGGAAGCGAGTGACCTTAATGATTGTAACAGTTAGTGCCATATTTGGTATCACTTGGCTCCCAGATGTAATACTTCACACCGTCGAGGAAACAACCAGCCTTAAGTTCAGTCCCGTCATATTTCCTATTGTTCACACCATCATCATGTTCAACTGCGCTGTCAATCCATTTGTATACGCGCTAATCAACCAACGATTCAGAGAGAAGATGAAGAGATTGCTGTGCTGCTGTTGAAGTTTATTGGCGACCAAACGCCTCAAGGATTCTCAACCACAAAGAATCGAGTTAGTCAACAGTAGTATCACTCAGCCAAGGGCATAGGAAAAGAAAAATGGACAAACTTTATAGCTTCTAAGAAACTGAGGTCATTAATAGTACAAACTATTAACGGTAACAAAAATAATATACTGTATAAGTAAAACATTAGGCTTAGGAACAAATGGTATAATTGCTAAAATACTGGGGCACGATCTCAGAATCCCTTGAGACAGAACTTCATAATTTTGGCAAATGGTTTTTACACCTTGAGCAATTTCAGGTAACAAAAAGATAACAATTACCATAAATCTCTATCTACAGAGCCTTCTAATTTAACACAACTGGTTTGTAGGAAGCCCACAATAAGTACAGTTTTATTTGATCGTATCTGGATTAGTCCTGGTCGATGTCCGTTTTTTTACATTATAGTGTAGGGACGTTTTTGAGAATTTCATTGTTCGATTCCACTTGATTTGAAATTGCAACTTAAAAGAGTCTTAAAAGATCCTTTCTGTTAGGAATTCTTTTCTCCGTTAGGAAATCACCTGTCGTAAAAAATTCCATTTTCTAACCAACTACTCTCAGCAACTGAGACACGAGTGCGCGTTAGATATGAGATGGTGCCATAGCCAACGAGGCGCGTAGCGCCGTGTTGGCTATAATATAGAGGATATTACTTGGCCGCGCGGGGATACGAATTTTATCTTCGAGTGCTGAAAGCAAAATTCGTATCCCCAAGCGGCCATTTCTAATGTTCTGTTTTTTTAATAGATACTGATGAAATTCCTACCTAAAACACAACTTTTTTTAATTCATTTAATTTCGAAACAGCAAAATAGTGCAATTAAAGTGGTCACCTATCTGTCACAAAAAGGTTATGAAACTCGGATATAAAGTTATAAAGGAGAAATAAAGGCAACAATACTTATATTTTCTGTTCCAAAAAGTCAAAATTCTAATGAAGAAGAGAAAAAGTTTGGCTAACCACACGTGAAAGATAAAAATAGTATCTTCACTGCGCGATGAAGATATGATTTTTTAGTAAAAGGAAAAATCCTGGAATTTCATCAGTATCTCAAATAATAAAATCTCATATCCAAGAAGGGCGAGTGCCATTACGTTTTTTTAAAAAAACGCCCACAAAATATCGAGAATTCTTCCCGAATTTAACTGTAAAAACAACCGATTTCAGCTTGTTTTTAATTTGGAGCAGACTTGTCAGTTAAGATATTTGGAGAGCATGGCGTAATGGCTCATATACCATGATGGCTACGCCAATCAGAGCTCTAGATTATCCAATGGTTCAGCTTGTAATAAAGATAATTTTCAAACTATGAATATATAATATAATGTACATTTAAGCAATAGACCACACTTTCTATGGGTTTACCGGCGTGATAACCCACGCGGGATGTTGGGAGAACACTCGAAAAGCTTGTAAATCACTCACCTTCGGCTCACGTCGTTACCGCAGCATTTCTTGATCATAATAAAGCCCAGAAAACAGATCTTAAACCACTGCGGCTTGTAAAAAGTGAATGAAGTCCTCCATTACAATAGCTGCCAGTTCCGTCTGTAAGCACGAAATTCTTACCGATCGACTAAACAAAATACAGCTGTGTACAGTCTGATGTTCAATTAATTTCTACTTCAGTAGTAAACAAACCATGAAAGTATTCTTTCATCGTACGTTCGCATGAATATGTGTTGACTTTTCCTGTACAACAGCTTTCATAAGTTATCATGTAATGAGTGCAAAAACTCGTGTTTTGAAGTGCTGCTGTTTGTTGTTTGACTGAACTGAGTTTTGAGAACGTTCAACAATATTAAATCGTGAGTCAAGATTAGCTTATGATGACTTTAGAGAGAAGACATGACTTAATCACGGTACTAAAACCATATTTTTTACGTAAAAGACTCCATTCTACTAAAAGTTATTTTATAAAAGCAATAGACCACACTTTCTATGGGTTTACCGGCGTGATAACCCACTTGAGATGTTGGGAGAACACTCGAAAAGCTTGTAAATCATGAGCCGATGGAGTCTATTTTATAAAACATAATATACATTCTGAACTGGTTAGAACAACTTTCTAGAATGGTCAACTTTTCAGGAGCGATAAATAATATAATGGAATTGTAGTTCAAGACTTCAGAGGCGTTCTTCGCTTTTATTACAATATATATTATCAAGAGCCATAATAGGACAGCTGTCCTATTATGGCTCTTGATATTAGCGGGGCTCCACGCGCGCGCGAAGCGCGCGCGTGGGCGGAGCCCCATTGCTAAGTAAATCTACCCATTCCAGAAAATTTGGTAATCACGTGACCGTACAGCGACCGACCGCCCGCCGTCCGTCCGCACCACAGGAAAACCAATGTTTACTCTCACACTTTTAGCTAGTTTGGGAGCCCAAGAGAAAACTAATTGCACAGGCTACACATCAATGTTGTGATCAATTGACAGCTATCAAAACAGGGCATCCGCTGACCAGTATCACCTGACCGTACCGCGGGCTCAAGTGTCGACCCATCGAGGTCGAGTATTTTTTAAAGTTATCCGCTGACAAATTACCAGTTTTAAATGATCGCAGGCTCAAGTTTATTTTTTCCAAGGATTCATATCAAATATGTTGTGTTTATGTCACTATGGCCCCGCACGATTAGGATTTTGATTTCAAACTGACCTCGGAAGCGAAAATTCATCCAGTTTTTTAAAAAGTACAGGCGGGGAAGACCTTATCTTACCATGGTCACGCGTTGGTCACGCTCTAAGTCCAATTTTTATACTCTGATTGGTCAAAATTTGACAGGTGAGTTTATGCGGAAAAATTATTCAGCATCTTGAAAGTAGTTTACTTTGACTTGTGATGTTTTTAACTGTCTTTTTCCTCTGGAGGTACAAAATGAAATACAGCTGCTATCAAGAGTCTTCTGTTATTCATGGCTGGTTTGTTTACTGGGTTTTGGAAGAGAAATGCGTCTCTTGTCAAAATTCGGTAATTCGATTTCGGAGGGCATCGTTTTCGTTTTTCACCTTGCTTTTATGCGTAAGAGGGTTTAAAAGTCTCAAGCAACTGTGGCCTCCCTTGCTAGCTTCCAGGAACTGAATCTCGAATGGTAAGCCTAAGTAATTATTGTATTTGATGTTTGTGTTTCATGAAGTCTTGCACAGTTCACGCTGACAGTTTATGCGGCAAGTTTATGCACGTTTGCAGGATTTGAGTCAATGATCTGACCTAGTATCAGGTTTGATATAAGCTTACAGAACTTTAAAGAGCCTTCAGATATATTTGCTCACTACAAATAGAAAGAAAACGTTCCGAAGAATATTTAGTTATAAATTTGGCTATAGAAAGAAAACTTTGAGCGATTTTCTTGCTTCGAGGAGTTCACCTTCAAAAACAGTAAACACCGCGCCGGGAAACCGGCTAAAACATAAACTTAAGCTTTACGCTTAAAGACTCAGGATTTTTAGAGACACTTTAATACTTGTCTTCGTGAATGAAAATTGTTGTCTCTGTAAATGTTTCACGGAATTATCTCTCTTTTTTTGATTGTTAGTAGTCTCTCTTGCAATTTTAATCGCTTGTCCGTGCCGTTTGTTTTCATCGTTCATGACCATCGCTTGCAGGAGTACTCAAAAATGTCGCGCGTATCAAACGCTTTATAAGATTACACATCGTTATATAACTGAAACCATTAAATAACAAAACAAATAATAATAAATTCGCTATTATGTTGAAGCGTAACTCTGTTAAAGTTCATTCAAACACTCGACCACACTGACAGCTCGCACTATAGAAACGAGAACCAGCTGGCCGTATGGGTGATTTTGGAAATTTTCTGAAATTTTTGAACGGTTTGGCTCGTCCTGAATATTGACTGAGTGCAATTTGTCTTGAAAAAATGTGAAATACCGCATTCTGTCCGAGCTCTGTATGATAAATAGTACTGTTTCACCTCAAATGTGGTGTATAAAAATTATAAAAGGTTGGTTTAAACACCCCCAGATTTGTTGGCAAGAATTTGTAAAGTAAACCTGTCGAACGCAAAAAAATTTGGCGTGATTTGTTTTCCAAGAATTTGTTTTCGAGGCCTAATCTACTGTGATCTTGAATGTGATCGAAGATGTTTGCTATTTTTTGGGTGTACATATAAGGTTATCAATTCGATGTAAGATGTTTCACTCTAAAATAACTTAGCCTTTCCCTCAAAAGTGACATGAATGTACGTGGCCTTAAGTTAAATGATTTGTGGATTGAAAGGTTATTGTTTGATTTAAATTATAATTTATTAAAATTGGAGCTTCGCTTTTAGCCCTGGCTAAATCTATATATTATATATATACATATAGCTGACTGGATTTGCAAAAACATGGCTATAGAAATCTCCCTCATATACCTTCTGACTGAGTGTTGTAGTGGAGCATGTTTTTTTTTTTCATAGTTACTTTTTGTTTATTTAATTCTTACCGAATATTTACTGGATAGGCTGCAGTATTTAGACTGATGAGTTTCTCACTGGTATTAATCTACCACCCCCTCTCCCCCCAAAAAAGTTTTTCATAACTTCCCATAATTCTCTCTGTATGTCAGTTTGAAATTAGCGCGCATATTAGACTGAACTCGGCTCTCATAGTGGGTTGTCCTAGAGTTTTTTTGGCTGCTTCAGCAACGTTTTCTGGAAGGCATCATTAAGCCTTACGAAGGAACAATTCTCACGTCTGGCAAAGTCTGCTGCGTCCAATATCTTCCCGTATTTCGTCTCATTTCGGGCTACACGGGTAAAAGACTGATCCCGGGCTTGATACGGAAAGATTGGATATTGCGAGCTTTGTTGTTGGCAGTGACAAGTCTTTTGCCTCACAAAGTAGGTTCTAGGGTTGAAATCTACTCGGCGAGATGGAAATTCATGCTGACTTCTGACCAGGTCAAAGACTACGTAAAAAATTGTTTTGAAGGCGGGGGCTGCATGTCTTCTTTTCAACCGGTGGTTTACGTCCGGGATCTTGAATCAATCGACTGTCAGTGAGTCGAGAAAAGTTCCATGTGATGACTTATGTGGAGTAATTTGACGATGTTTTGCCCGTGTTAAGTGTGGAAGTATTATGAGTGGTTTTCGGAAGTGTTGTGATTGCCGCCAAAGTCATTTATTGTGTGATTTACCGAAGGTGTTGACAGGTATGTCTTTGAACTCGTGTTACCAGAAAACTTTGTGTTAAGCACAAAAACGCTTCGCGAGTATTTAGTGTAGGTGATTTTGCCTTAGAAAGCCTATTCTGTGCTCAGAGATTGTGGATTTTAAATCTAATGTTTTCGGCAGAGACTTAGCTATGGGACTCATGGTTTGACCGACTAAAAAGTTATACCCACTGATGTTTCAAACTCGTTGTTTATTTCATCGCAAAATCCTGTTACTTCTGCTTGAAAAATTTACCGTCTGTTGCTAGCAATAAAGCTGTGATTATTGAGCCTTAGCTAGTGACTTGTCATTGTTTTCCATTCGACTTAGATGTCAAATTGTTAAAATGCACTTGAAATTTGTTTAGCCACGTTTTCGCAAATCCAGTCATATATATATATCTTATTGGACGGTTTAGTGTGTAGTATTGTGGGATATTTCTACGAGTCACGCTGTATTTTGGCGAACCCGTAAGGCGAGTCAAAATACAGGAGACGAGTAAAAATATCCCACGATACCACACAATAAACCGTCCAATAAGAGATTTATTATTCAACTCGAGATGTTTTAAAATAGAACTCAGTAAATACGTAAAACGAGAGTGCGTGACAGATTAACGTGACTCCTTTGCAAGTCCAGTTTTCGCGCACTTTATGCAACATTGTTGCTTATTGGTCTAAAATGAAAACTCTTCAAACTAGTTTACTCAGCAAATCAAATTTGGTCGGATTTCTCGGCGCTTCGGGGTGCTATCTTTCAAACATTTGCTAGGAAAACAGAGATGGAATAACTTATGATGGTGTCCCGGTTGTTATGTACAGCCGACTGCAAGAAGATAAACTGAGCAGAACAAACTGCGATGATAAGATGAAAAATCTCCCACGAATTGAAGGAGTTTTAAAGAGCTACTTGTAAACAACGGACTTGAAACCTCATCTTCGCCGGGATTAGTACTAACGTTAAGACTTTAGAGAACGTCTAGAGTCTTCCACATCGAGTTTCCTCACATTTTAAAAAGACTAGAAGAGAAGATTTTTAAGCTCCTCGGCGGGGATTGTATTTAATCAACGTTGTTTGTGTCGCCGATCGTCGCCGTCGCCATGCATCTCATGCACACGTTCAGGTCTGTTTTGATCTTGTCTGTTGTATTTTAAACTTATATAAGCCTTTAAAATGTTTATATGTTGTGACTATTTTTAATCAATGTCGACGTTTCATTGTTGAGGCAACTTTATTCTAAAACCACGGTTTTATTAAACAAACAATGCATTTTCTGCCATGTGCAACGTAAACGTTTGTAAAACCCGGTCAAACCGGTCTTCTGGAGTACAAATACCGTGAGATATTTGTACTCATTTTGGGTGTTATTTGTACTCTACTGAAATAATAAGATTTAATATTCATTTAAAATATTTCCCTGTTTCTGATTGTCTCACATCCCCCGGCTAATTCTTTATTACCAGCTGGTGTTGACCAAATTTGGAAGATGCGAGCAATATACCATCGATTCGATGATATAATGCGCAAGCAGCCCCGCTTCAAGGCAAATATCCCATCGATCAACCTCGAGTTTCCAGGCACGGAAGCCTAACTGGTTTTTCCCGAGTGAGCTAAAAAAATGGCGTTGACGGCTGTGCGAGGACGAAATAGATTAATTTCTGACCAAAACTGAAAGGACGAAAAGCAGGAGTACGAAAAACATATTGCTCGATGGATGTTATCTACTGTTTGAGTAGTATCTGCAAGAAAAAAAAACATCTGTTTATATCCTGAAACCGTCCTGAGAAATAAGTCAAAGTTTTGAAGAAAGTCTACGAAGAGGGAAGGTTGTTAAGAACTTAGATGTATTTTGAATGAATAATGAAACAATTATTGAACTTGGCTTTCGTTTAATGTGAATTATGCAGATCTCGGAAGCTGTTTTACACCGTGGTGGGTAAAATTCTCCTCGATCTGCATAATTTTCTTTATGGTATTCAACCTCATTTAATAATTGATAGAAAAATGACACCATGTTAGGCCCCAATACCGCCGGTTTAAAAGCGCAAAGTTCCAAACACGGGACGTTTAAAATATCAAAGGCATGTGTTTCAGATACTATTGAAATTTACATAAGAGATTGCCATTTATGAGTTCGAACTTCCTTGCACCCGTAGTAGTAATTGCTGCAGCTTCATTTTTCGACTGAAGTTAAATATGATCCTGTCATTTATGACGTCATTTACCATATATGGAAGGTGCAGTTTATTTCTGGTTTGAAACTTTGCTGAAAAACTCACACTCGAATAATAAATTCATTATTAAATATATGTGTCGACAGTTTGTTTATTGTTTGCAAAGCATACACCATGTTAATTAACAGTTAAACCATCAAATAAGGTGAGAAAGGGACAATATTTTTCAACTCAGGTATTTGTGTTTCTTTTTCACCTAAATTAATTTCTAGTGAGCTATTAATCCTTCTTTTGAAAAACGGAAAACACATTTTCTGACAAGAATGATGGCTCATGATAACGTTTAACTTAAGATGGCCCGAACCTATATATACGCGCGTTGGTTATGCTTTTTAATCCCGTTTTTCGGCAAGAAAGATTTAACCTATTTCTATGATTTTTAGCATCCTTAATGAAGAATGGTCGAACTTTAAGAAACTGTTATTTATTTTATTGTAGAAATAAAAACGTTTGAGATATCGGCATATGTTTAAAACCACATTTTTACAAAAAATGTCAATAATTTCGAAATCCTAAGACAGATTTTTCTCTAACTTAGCAAATACGCCTCAGAGCTCTCTAGTTTTATATCTGCAAGTTTGAATTCAATCGTGACCGTAGAACTCGCTGCACAAATAGATGGTCAAATTTAACCTTAAATGCAACGCTAACATATTTGTGAAAGTTGACGCACAATTAGAGGAAAACTGCCAACGGACTATCTCCTATCTGCAAGGATACTAAAAGTTTGCATTCAAGTCCATTTCTTTTCGAAACCTATCTTAACAAGACAAAATATAGCATATATCTAGGAAAAACTCTCAAGAGTTTTTAGCGTCGCAGGTTTCCGTTTTGAGGAGAAATAAAGCCACCAACTCCAGTACTTCTAACCGTCCATTTTTCAGCTGCACTGAAAGCCCTTGTACTTGGTAATTTATTCAAGGTTTTTAGTCTTGACATCACATTCGCACGGAAAGTTTGCCACTTTGGGATAAAGATGAAGAAAATATGACGATCGTCTTATTCTTTTCATTATCCCCAGTGGCAAACTGTCCGAGCGAATGTGATGGCAAATCTTACAAGAGCTTACAAGCTTGAATAAATTACCTAATACAAGGGTTTTCGTTGCAGCTGAAAATGGATCCGTTGAGGTACTGGAGTTGGTGGCTTTATTCCTCCTCAAGACAGGAACCATCGGTGCTTAAAACTGGTAGGAGATTTCCGTGGATGCTTTATCTTGCTTTGTTGAGATTTTTTTTCGACAAGAGAAGGGCAAATACACAGTAACTTTAATAAATAGATGTTCGTTCATCTTGCCCGCATTCAACATAAATTTCTTCTTCTTGCCTTGCGAACTTTATTCGCCGTAGGTTTCTGATTACTCAGTTTCTTGCAACTAAAGCTTGAAACTGAAGCTAAACAAACCTTTATTGCGGTGTCCCTGAGACTCACTAAAGTCTTTTAAAGACAAATGTTACGCTTCTTTATGCAAGCGAGGTTCTTAATGTCATTACATTTGTCTTCTTCAATTCCTTGTTTGTTTGCTTTCCTTTTGTTAAGTATCCGTTAGGTATATATTTGCACATTTTTTGTTTTACTTTTTTTCAAACTAGGAAACAAAAGGGGAATTTTGAAAAAACCTGCCAAAAGATACTTAGCAAATAGCAAAATATTAGATAAAAGAAGAGGAAAAGAAAAATAAGCAGATTCTACACATTTTGCTTCTTCATTATCATCCTTGTCTTGATACGAAGCTCCGTGTGGAACCTATCCCCTGGTATAGAGCACGAAGAGTCCTTTTCCGTTTAAAAGTCACTTTATAGTCGCGGCAACGTACGTCCGATCGAACGACCCTACTCACGTACAAACTCTGGGAGGGGAGCTGCCGCTGAACGTTCTTTTGATACAAAGGTTTCTGGGAAGGACCTTAGCTAAATTATTACTCACTGTTTTTTTACATATAATTTCAGTTATCGTGACCAACGCTAACATAGTCATGTCGGAATCAGCTGAAATTGCTGTGACAGTTGTAACGTCAGTGCTTATCATCACAAGTATCGTAGGAAACTCTCTTGTTTGTGCCGTTATCAAGAAGAATCGAGACATGAGGTAGAGAACTATTCAGCAATGACACCACATACTCCCTTCAACCAGTTGATGCCAAACAATTTTTTTACTATGCAACGTATCTTGCAGAATTTGCCATCAATGCCATGAGTCCACTTGACAATTTTTAACGAGACCATAAGGCGCCTTGTTTACCCCCAAAATTTTACCTGACCAATTTTTCCAATTGATGATAAATTCAAATGACCGTTTTCATCCATGCACACAATTTTTTTGTGGAGGGGGGTAAACAAGGTGCATTATGGCCTCAGTAGAAATGGTGAATTGATTATTGAGAAAAGGCACGTATTGCGAAACTCACAAAACCGTGAACATCAGAAATATTTATGGAATGCTATTCTGTTGCGAGAAATAAGCCACTATGGCACGAGATAACTAAACCGCAAACAGCAACGGTAATTAATTTGTGGTTTTGAGGTTTGCTTGCGTATCCTGAACTTTATTGTGATTGGCCAATACACAAGCAACATTCCTGAAATTTTTCAGGTGTTCACGGTTTTCTGAGTTTGACAATAACGTAATTACATCACTGTATTCAAGTTTTGATAAATCTGTAATTTGTTTTCGCCGTTTGTCGGTAAAGAATAATTCTTGAAGTATGACATGGTATGCCATACATACGTACATACATATATACCATATGTAACCTCGAATTCAGAGTAGTTAAAGATGAGCTATAATTTTCGAGTTACAAGTATAGTTACAAATATGACTACAATTTTGAAATTACAATGTCGCCTGTTACAATACGTTGAGTTATTTCATTATTTTATTTCACAGAAGTCCCATAAATTATCTACTGGTGAACCTTGCAGCGGCGGATATCATCTATACAACATTTAGTTTACCAGGCATTGTGCTGAGACACACTAACAGACACCCAGGGGGAGTGACTGGCAAGGTGTTGTGCATAGTACTGACAAAGGGAATCTTTGCGTGGGTCGGGGCTTTTTCTTCAGTTTTAACTCTTGTTGCCATTGCCATAGAACGCTACCTAAGCGTTATACACCCCCTCGGCAGCAAAGCAAATCTTACCATCAGCAGACTAAAGGTAAGTTGCACTTCGAAAACCTTACAGCGCCTAGCTAGTATAATATCATCAATAGGCGAATCCTTTTTTACATTTTTTGCATCATTAACATATCCTTATAATTAATCTGAGCTCGATATACCGAATAAGTTTTGAAGAAACTTTCAAAAAATGTATGACCTCTTTGCCCTTAGCAATTTCGCAGTTTTTGATTCCTGATATTTCCTCTGTTATTGATTGCAAAGAGCTGAAAATTGCATAAACTGCTCCAATAAAGCAGCTCTTTTATCCTTTGAACTAAAGTTGTGAATACGACTTTATTCGGGAATAAAGGTTTCATTAATTAACCTTTAGTAAGGGGTTGTGAAAATTTAAAAGGCTGAGGAAGAATTTGAAGAATCTCATGATCAAAGCATCGTTTAAAGAGATATCTTTTTAGATTAGCTTTAGATTAAAACATTAAATTAAAACATATCTTTTTACATTAAAACTTATCATTGGATTAAAACATATCTTTTTAGATTGGCTTTTAAGAAGTTTTAACTTGATTTTATTCTCATTTTATTTTATTTATGTATTTTTATCAGCATTTTTACTGTTAATCGGTGTCATCTTTCATAGTCGATATCATAGATTTATTTTATAAATTTTAATTAGTATGACCGTAAAGCGCCTTCGATCATTCATGCATGTATGTTAAAAGGCGCTATAGTAGATTTATAATTTATTATTATCATTATTACTATGATTATCATTATAATCAGTAGAAATTACAGATGTGTGAAATTTGTAAATATCTCCAAGAGCTCCCTTGGCGTTTTCTCCGACGAATGTTCCACGGTCTTAGACATGGTGAATGACATTGGCATTGACAAAAAGCAGCAACTTCATATAATCAAGAAAATGATAAACATAGTCATTAGAGCAACATACTACACCTTTTGTTGTAGAAATAGGAATTGGGATAGCCCAGTCTTAATGCAATTTTGATTTTCTTTTCTTTTCTTTTTTTTTTTTCAATAATTCGATCTCAAGCAGCATTTGTAAATTGTCTATACGTAGCGAGATCTACAATAATTATTGTACATTTAAAAACACAAATAAGGTTTCCATTATTCTTATTATTTAAGGATTTGCGGATGCAACAAAATGTACTAAAGAAAATCACTGTTCGGTATTTATGAATAAGTAGTACAATAGTGAAGCACTTCTCTGTGACGTCCATTCGACATTTCTTACCCGCAAAAATTTCATTTCACAAACTTGAGAATTTGTTACATGAATTAGGGAATTTTTGCACTGTGAGAGACTGTGAGAGAAATACATTTTTATTCTACCAGTCGTCCAAGCACAACAAAACTTAAAAATGACAAAACAGCATGCTCAAAACTGCCCAAAGAAGTTCGATTTAGCTTAATGTTGTTTCCATTTTCCATTACTAGATTATTATTCCTAGTTTTTGGTTCTTTTCATTGATTTTGGAAATCCCGCCAGCAACGAACATGGCATTAGACAAGAGATTCGATCCAAAATTCTGCCCCAAGATGCGGCTTCACTACAAGACATGGATACAACATGGTTACGTATTCTTGTGGTTTACGATGGTTGTCATTTCCATTGCGGTGATGATTGGGTTATATTCCAGAGTCGTGTTCACTTTGTGGGCCAGGTGCAACAACGATGAACTCACACATCGACAGAAGGTATTTCATTAAACACGTTAAAAAGTTATACCGTGGACGTTCACCTAGTACTGTACAAATTTTCGACCGGTTAAAAATTCGTGCGTTTAGGGGTTTAGTTCACAGGGAGCCTCTGTAAAGACATTTAGACTCCCAACCGTTCATTAAGTTGATCGCCAAAATCGAGTTCAAATATTGAGCCGGTACGGTCGAAAAATTGATCAGCGTGGTGTGAACACATTGACCACCTAAAGGCGTGGTTGCATGAATGCTTGGTAGCTTAGTGGAAGACGCCATTTTGGATTGGCTTAAGTTGTGCTCTGGGTAAGGACAGATGGTTAAAACGCTGAAAAAGGTAAAATTCAACCTAGATCGTGAGGGAAATATTGAACGGTTCCATGTGAACGAAATGTCCGATCAAATTTTTTCAGCCGGTCGAGCTTTCGTCCGGTACCGTGTGAACGTAACTTTAAAGCTTTTTTTAAATTCTGACGAGATTTTTCTCAATTGTACTCAATTTTCGATCTTTTATTTCTTTCTTAACAACTACACTATATTTACTTGGTTACTGATAACACTCACGGTGGCTCGCCTGCATTTTTCAGGGAAAATATCTCCCAAGTTTGAGCACGTCGCCGTTATCAAAGATATAGGAAACGACCATCACAGCTTAATCAGACAAAGAAAAAACATTGTTATTTACAAAGGAACCTCGATTTAACGGACGGCCAAGGGAAAGACAAAATTTGTTCGTTATAACGAGGATCTGCATGAAACACTGGGAAAGCTTTATGACCTCTAATAAATAATAGACTCAGAGAGGCAAAAGTAAGATTTAGTCAGATTTTAGAATACTCCGAGCACTGCATAATCTTAGCGAAGGTGACGTGGGAAGCTACTTCAATGCATGCATGCTTAAATCCCTCCCAGTGTCGTTAAATATGCCTGTAAGCAAAATAAGGGTAACGTCATTACATTACTGTGGCAACTGCGAAGTCAACGTAACACTGTTAACAGCAAACTTTCATCTTTACCTAATACAGCTGTGGTGATCACTTTTCCAAATCTTTTTAATGGCGACGTAGTTAATACTTAAACTTGGACGTATTGGCCGTGAAAGTCTAGTCGAGCCAACATAACTTAAGTAGTTTTTTTACTGAACTGTTAAACCAATCCCAGTAAGGGAATGGCCGTTTGACCGACGACAAAATGTTTTTTGCTCCAGCAAACTTTAAAATAACCTGCAATGTGGTTTTGTGCTTTTTTATGCAGGGAGTGTTAAAGGTGCGAAAGCGAGTGACCTTAATGATTGTAACTGTCAGTGCCATATTTGGTATCACTTGGCTCCCAGATGTAATTCTACACGTCGTCGAACAAACAACCAGCATCAAGTTCAGTCCCGCCATATTTACTATCGTTCACACCATCATCATGTTTAACTCCGCGGTCAATCCATTTGCATACGCGTTAATCAACCAGCGATTTAGAGAAAAGATGAAACGATTGCTGTGCTATAGTTCAATTTTATCGGAACTCAGAAGCTCCACAAATTTGCAATCACACAGCATCGAGTTAATGAACAGTAACATCACTCAGCTACGTCCATAGAAAACAGAAAAGTACAAACTGGATAACTTCTAAAGAAACTGCAGTCAATAACAATGTAAATTAATGATGGTAACATACTGTGTAGGAAAAATTGTACAGCTCTTATTAGTATTAACATCAGGCTTAAGACTCGAATTATGTAATTCTTAAAATTCTTGGACACGGTAATTAAAAATAAAAATAAATTATAGTTAAAATAAAGAATTTCCCAGAATCCCTTGAGACAAAGCTTCATAATTTCGACAAATGCATTATAAACCTAGAATAATGTTAAACTACAACAAGACAACAATTCCCATAAAATATCTACAAGTCTTGTGATTTTAACACAACTAGTTTAGACAGGCCTAAAATAAGTAGTCTTATTTGATCTTAATTAGATTATTTCTGCCACCACGGTAGAAAAACAGGCAGGCAAACAAAATTATGTCCGTTTTTGAGTGTCCAGCCATGACGTGACCTCCTGAATATAAAAATACCTAGGTAAGGTTGGGTGGGTTCTCCATATCTAACAAGCGGATAGTCAAAAAAACGCTTAATAATTTACTTCACTTTCGAACGTTTTGTCTTAAGTCAAACTTCAGTCTAGATATTCACTGCATTAAAACTATTGTTTTCCTCTAAACTGGCTAATTCTACACCAAGACAGTCGCAACGACAAAGTTGTTGTTTTGCTTATTAAACCTGATTTCTTTTTACGTTCTAGTTGCCGTCGCGTCGTTGGATCTTAAAGTCCCTAACGTTTCCTGCGAAACAAGATGAAGTGATGGCATTTGATGTTTTGACGTAGGCATCACGTGAATTCCCATGCTCGATGGAAAAGCAAACGGTTGCACGCATTGGTTTCTCTACCTTCGTAGCGCAGCGTCCAGCCTGGAGAAACCACTGCTCGCAGGGTACTCTGAGATGGACATCTTCATGAACGGCCCAGACTGTTCGTCTTAGAGAGCTTAGAGAGGTGTCCGGCTTATAGAGAGCCGAGGTAACTTGACACCAGTAACTATAAGAAAATAAAACTGAACCCATTCGCAATGACTGCACGTCTGTTTACTTGCCAGCGAAACAGTTAAAACTGGAACATTATAACAAAAAGAGGAAACATTTTCATATTGTGCAATCAAACGTTCATTTAAATGAATGAAAAAAAAAGGTTAACGGTCGGTGGTCTAAAAGCGTAACGGCATATACTCTGCGAACTGGAACAAAACCACACAAAATAATAATAAACATGACATGACTTTACTGTTTTTCTTAGTGAAAGCGGACAGTGAAAGGCGGGAAAACCAATACGATTTTTTTTCCCTAGTGCAGGTTTTCGTCTGCGCCCAGTGATTGGTCATACGATAAGGTTTTTTGCGCCCAGTGATTGGTCATACGATAATTTTCACTTGTGACAAAAATTGCCAGTAGTTTTTTACCAGATGATAAAGTCTCAAAGTACATGGTAAATATAATATATAATAAATGTGTATGGACAATACTTAAGTTTCTTTATAGTAGAATAATTTTAGAGTTAATTTACCTCGATATACCCTGCGAGCACAGTCTCCTTCGATAGGGTAACCTCGATATTGCTTGACATTCCTATTCCTTGGTTTTAAAAATCAAATTTTCATCTTTATCATCATCATCTGGAGCATTTTTCGTCCGTCAGGATTGCTCCCTCTTCCCACTGTTCACACAGCTGTTATGTTCAATTCGGCGGTCAATCCGTTTGCATATGCTCCGATAAACCAACTATTGAGGGGAAAAAATGAAAGAAATCCTTTGCCGTACACCGCGTTCGATGGCAATGATAGAACCTCACGGCAATGTAGTGGCAAACAGAATTTCCTCTGGGGGCAATTTCCGTGACAAGGGAATATCATATGATCAAACTGGATCAACCTACTGTAAATGCTTAACCTTAAATTTTACTTTGGAAGTAATAATGCTTTGCTCTTTAGTTCGATAGAAACATTCCTTTGGGCCTTAAAAGGAATCCGTAGCGTTCACGACAGCGTTAATGCTTCTAACCCATAACCCTTTAGTTAAAAGCAAATTACGAGGCCAGAATTAATGTGGGAAAAGGGGGTAAGGGATGAAGTACTCATAATATGTGGGTGGAGGTGATAATTCCCCTTTGGTACTGGAGAGGTGAAAACACCTCTCCAATTTCCCGGTTTAAGGAATAACAAGAGCAATTCAACTCCACCAAATACCCCTAAAGGGGTATTCCTCATTGAATAGAATAGAAAGGAATTCTTTATTTACACACTGTAAAATTCATCAGGAGTATAAAAATTTATTAAATAAACCCAACTACCCTAAACAATATGCATAACTATCTACAACTAACATAACTAAGACCTGTTTTTCATGAATGCCGTGTACACAGTACTTTGAAATCAGAAATTCAGATGAGCCAATCGTTTAAATTGACTGAAAGATTTAGCCTCCCTCATATCACAGGGCAGGCTGTTCCAGAGAACTGCTGTTCTTACATGAAGTTAGACAAATAACCGGAATTATAAAACTATTTCCAGTGTCAAAATGTCACTTGAAACGTCACATGGTGATTAAAACATGAGCTATACAATAAAAAGAAGAAAACAAGGGATCAGTCTGTAAATTGATTGCAATTAATCGACTAACAGTTACGTACAACATTCTTCCGTTTAATCTCAGTGGGCGTGAAGTTTGACACATTCTCGTCTTTTTAAAAAGAACTGCAAACTTTGTTGCCACTCCCTAAAGAGGGATTTTCTGTGACAATACTAATGATGGAGTTTTGAGGAACTAAAATAATGTACTATGTAAAAAAAGCAGACGCCAACATTTGTAAGGTAAAAATTATGCAAAAAAAGAAATGAGGTGTTAAAACTAGAAACTAGGGCCCACTTGAAAAGGAAAGCGTTCGAATAAGTAACTGCTTAATGTATGATTAAAAGTAGGAAAGGAAAAATGTCTATTAATTAACAAGAAAAAATGTCTATTAATTAACAAGAAAAAATGTCCATTAATTAACAAGAAAAGGGTTTGATGAAAACAATGAAAAATAGTTCTTTCCATTGTTCCAATCGATGGAAAAACGCACAAATTGAAGGCCTAAGAATTCCGGACCTTGTTAAGAAAACAACAGATCGATTTTCGAAAATTGCTGTTGTTTTCCAGCTAGCTCAGCAACAGAAAGGTAATAAAAGATTTTCGACACGACAGATGAAACTAGAAAAAAAATTACCATAATAAAACCTTATTCAGCTCTGTCGATCGAGGGTAATCGGCCTCAGTGGATAACACCCTCCTCGATCGCTATCATTATTCTTCAGATCATACGAAAGCTGAATGCAACAATTGTTATATTATTCATTCAAAATAATTCCAAGTTAAAACAAAAAGAACAACAACAACGACAAGCTAGAACACGCTGACCTCGATGGATGTTTAGTTCCTGTCTTCATTCGTCTGTTTTTCGGCAAGTTCAGGAGATAAAAGAAGGTTTAGTTTTTCAGATATTTTCCAAATAGCAGATGCTGTCCGTCGAATTGGATTCTTACTTTTCTAGCTACGTTTTAGACGGTTGTTCGGCCATTTCTTTTTCGTGTGAAATGTTCTGCCATTTTCTACTGCCCCACCAAAACATCGCAACTTTGTCGTCAGCGCTTCTCGGTTGACTTCACTTTCCATATAGCGCAAACGTCTTCCAAATTTGGTCAACGCTAGCTGGTTATGAAGAATTAGCCGTAGGATTTGAGCTAATAAGAAACTGAGAAATATTTTGAATGAATAATTATTTCTATTAATTGTCTGATACCGTTTCACGGTTTCTTTAATATGAATCATGCTATGACTTTTTTTAATTAGTTAAAGGTAATACTTGAAATTGCTTGTTTTATTATTGAACTGTAAAACCAATCCCAGTCGGGGAGTGGATGATAGATCGACGACACGATTCTTCACACCACTGAACTTTTAATGTCACTCGACGGTAACAGAGGCGAGTATGCAAGGCGCCAGGTAGAATACCCAGAGCGATAGGTTACAGACCAGGCACTTAGCTAAAGCAAGGCTCACCGGCACTGCTGCAAGGTGTCTCTTGCTTCTTTAGAAGTTTTTTTAGTATATTTTTCTGCAACGGTGAGTTTTAAGCTAACTTAACACCTAAGAACGGTGACTTGGACGCGATTTCTGTGATGGAGCTAAGCTGCGCCGCGCCGATCTCTAAAGTGGAGAGTCTCATATCGAATAGGTGTTCATACTATATCAAACAGCTTTTCGTGTTGGCGCGAAAGTAGTCTGTAAATGTGGTTTCCGCTTTCTTACGCAGGGTGTGCTGAGGGTACGAACGCGAGTGAGCTTAATGATTGTAACTATTAAGAATCCATCTTTAATCCGAACCGAAAGAAGGTTACAACTAGAACTGAATAACATAAGCTACAAGGCGAGAGAATAAATCATGAGTTTATGCGATCGAAGAGCACGTGTAATCCCCCTAGAGAGTGTCATATGATCTTAATCAACGAATCACATTACATGATAATTATTTCTCCAACAGTAGCAGTCAGTGCCATATTTGGTATCACTTGGTTCCCAGATGTAATACTCCAAGTCGCCGATCAAACAAACAGCCTTAAGCACGGTGCTGTCATATTTCTTATTGTTCACACGATAACCATCTTCAACTCCGCTGTTAATCCATTTGTATACGCGCTAATCAACCAGCGATTCAGAGAAAAGATGAAGAGCATGTTGTGACGCAGACGCCGCAAAAGTTTGCAATCAGACAGCATCGAGTTAGTCAACAGTAATGTCGCTTTAGCCAAGCGCATAGAAAAAGAAGAAGGACAAACAAGATAGCTTGTAAAGAAGCTTTGGTTAACAATATTGTAAACTAGATAATGCAACATACAATATGTTAAATAAAAATATATTAATAATAATAATAATAATAATAATAATAACAATACTTTATTCAAATACGTATATGCACATAAACATGATGCATGATACATATTTGAAAA